AGTGCCAGCATCGGTTTGTGGTGCCTGAGTGGCGCAGTGGTCTAAGGCACTGCATCGCAGTGCAAACTGTGCCACTAGAGATCCTGGTTCGAATCCAGGCTCTGTCGCAGCCGGCCGCGACCGGGAGGCCCATGGGGCGGCGCACAATTGGCCCAGCGTCGTCCAGGGTAGGGGAGGGAATGGCCGGCAGGGATGTAGCTCAGTTGATAGAGCATGGCGTTTGCAACGCCAGGGTTGTGGGTTCGATTCCCGACTGTAAGTCGCTCTGGATAAGAGCGTCTGCTAAATGACTAAAATGTAAATGTAATGTAAATGTAAATAGACAGCTACAAAGAATATAGATGAAAACTCTCTTGGTAGATAGTGTGGTCTACAGTTTATGATGAGATACTCTACCTCAGGCAAGCAAAACCTTTGAGACTTCCTTACAGTGAGGGAAAAAAGTATGTGATCCCTGCTGATTTTGTACGTTTGCCCACTGACAAAGAAGATCAGTCTATAATTTTAATGGTAGGTTTATTTGAACAGTGAGAGACAGAATAACAACAACAAAATCCAGAAAAACGCATGTCAAAAATGTTATAAATTGATTTGCATTTTAATGACGGAAATAAGTATTTGACCCCCTCTCAATCAGAAAGATTTCTGGCTCCCAGGTGTCTTTTATACAGGTAACGAGCTGAGATTAGGAGCACACTCTTAAAGGGAGTGCTCCTAATCTCAGCTTGTTACCTATATAAAAGACACCTGTCCACAGAAGCAATCAATCAATCAGATTTCAAACTCTCCACCATGGCCAAGACCAAAGAGCTCTCCAAGGATGTCAGGGACAAGATTGTAGACCTACACAAGGCTGGAATGGGCTTCAAGACCATCGCCAAGCAGCTTGGTGAGAAGGTGACAACAGTTGGTGCGATTATTCGCAAATGGAAGAAACACAAAAGAACTGTCAATCTCCCTCGGCCTGGGGCGCCATGCAAAATCTCACCTCGTGGAGTTGCAATGATCATGAGAACGGTGAGGAATCAGCCCAGAACTACACGGGAGGATCTTGTCAATGATCTCAAGGCAGCTGGGACCATAGTCACCAAGAAAACAATTGGTAACACACTACGCCGTGAAGGACTGAAATCCTGCAGCGCCCGCAAGGTCCCCCTGCTCAAGAAAGCACATATACAGGGTCGTCTGAAGTTTGCCAATGAACATCTGAATGATTCAGAGGAGAACTGGGTGAAAGTGTTGTGGTCAGATGAGACCAAAATCGAGCTCTTTGGCATCAACTCAACTCGCCGTGTTTGGAGGAGGAGGAATGCTGCCTATGACCCCAAGAACACCATCCCCACCGTCAAACATGGAGGTGGAAACATTATGCCTAGGGGGTGTTTTTCTGCTAAGGAGACAGGACAACTTCACCTCATCAAAGGGACGATGGACGGAGCCATGTACCGTCAAATCTTGGGTGAGAACCTCCTTCCCTCAGCCAGGGCATTGAAAATGGGTCGTGGATGGATATTCCAGCATGACAATGACCCAAAACACACGGCCAAGGCAACAAATGAGTGGCTCAAGAAGAAGCACATTAAGGTCCTGGAGTGGCCTAGCCAGTCTCCAGACCTTAATCCCATAGAAAATCTGTGGAGGGAGCTGAAGGTTCGAGATGCCAAACGTCAGCCTCGAAACCTTAATGACTTGGAGAAGATCTGCAAAGAGGAGTGGGACAAAATCCCTCCTGAGATGTGTGCAAACCTGGTGGCCTCTGTGATTGCCAACAAGCGTTTTGCCACCAAGTACTAAGTCATGTTTTGCAGAGGGGTGAAATACTTATTTCCCTCATTAAAATGCAAATCAATTTATAACATTTTTGACATGCATTTTTCTGGATTTTGTTGTTGTTATTCTGTCTCTAACTGTTCAAATAAACCTACCATTAGAATTATAGACTGATCATGTCTTTGTCAGTGGGCAAAAGTAGAAAATCAGCAGGGGATCAAATACTTTTTTCCCTCACTGTAGATATCTTGCACCAGCTGTTGTTTACAAATATACATAGACCATCACCCCTTGTCTTACCAGAGGCTGCTGTTCTATCCTGCCGATACAGTGTATAACCCGCCAGCTGTATGTTTTTCATGTCATCGGTCAGCCACGACTCGGTGAAACATAAGATATTACAGTTTTTAATGTCCCGTTGGTAGGATATACGTGCTTGTAGTTCGTCCACTTTATTATCAAGTGATTGTACGTTGGCCAATAGTACCGATGGCAAAGGCAAATTAGCCACTCGTCGCCGGCTCCTTACCAGGCATCCCGATCTTCTTCCGCGATATCTCAGTCTCTTTCTACTGCAAATGACGGGGATGAGGGCCCTGTCGGGTGTCTGGAGCAAATCCCTCGCGTCCGACTCATTAAAGAAAAATGATTCATCCAGTTCAAGGTGAGTAATCGCTGTTCTGATATCCAGAAGCTCTTTTCGGTCATAAGAGACGGTAGCAGCAACATTATGTACAAAATAAGTTACAAACAAAATAACACGGTTGGTTAAGAGGCAATAAAACGGCAACCATCCCCTGAGTCAATACATGTTAGAATCACCTTTGGCAGCGATTACAGCTGTGAGTCTTTCTGGTTAAGTCTCTAAGAGCTTTGCACATCTGGATTGTACAATATTTGCACATTATTCTTAAAAAAAATTTTCAAGCTCTGTCAAGTTGGTTGTTGATCATTGCTAGACAGCCATTTTCAAGTCTTCCCATACATTTTCAAGTGGATTTATGTCAAAACTGTAACTAAGCCACTCAGGAACATTCAATGTCGTCTTGGTAAACAACTCCAGTGTATATTTTGTGTTTTAGGTTATTGTTCTGCTGAAAGGTGAATTTGGAAAGCAGACAACCAGGTTTTCCTCTAGGATTTTACCTGTGATTATCTCTGTTCTGTTTATATTTATCCTAAAACCTCTGTAGTCCTTGCCGATGACAGGCATACCCATAACATGATGCAGCCACCACCATTCTTGAAAATATGAATATATGAGTGGTACTCAGTGATGTTTTTAGTTGGATTTGCCCCAAACATAAAGCTTTGTATTCAGGACATAAAGTATATTTCTTTGCCACATTGTTTTACAGTTTTACTTTAGTGCCTTATTGCAAACAGGATGGATGTTTTGGAATATTTTTACTCTGTACAGGCTTCCTTCTTTTCACTCTGTCATTTAGATTAGTATTGTGGCATACTGTAACTACAATGTTGTTGATCCATCCTCAGTTTTCTCCTATCATAGCCATTAAACTTTGTATTTATTTTAAAGTTACCATTGGCCTCATGGTGAAATCCCTGAGCGGTTGCCTTCCTCTCCGGCAACTGAGTTAGGAAGGACGCCTGTATCTTTGTAGTAACTGGGTGTATTGATACACCATCTAAAGTGTAATGAATAACTTCACCATGTTCAAAGGGATATTCAATGTCTGCTTTTTTTTTTACCCATCTACCAATAGGTGCCCTTCTTTTCGAGGCATTGGAAAACCCTGGTCTTTGTGGTTGAATCTGTGTTTGAAATTCACTGCTCGACTGAGGGCCCTTACAAATATTTGTATGTGTGGGGTACAGAGATGAGGTAGTCATTCAAAAATCATGTTAAACACTATTATTGCACACAGAGTGAGTCCATGCAACATATGTGACTTCTTAAGCACATTTTTTCTCCTGAACTTATTTAGGCTTGCCATAACAAAGGGGTTGAATACTTATTGACACAAGACATTTCAGCTTTTCATTTTTATTAATTTGTAAACATTTCTAAAAACATAATTCCACTTTGACATTATGGGGTGTTGTGTGAGGGCCAGTGACACAAAATCTCAATTTAATCAATTTAAAATTCAGGCTGTAACGCAACAAAATGTGAAAAAATCAAGGGATGTGAGTACTTTCTGAAGGCACTGTATGTGGTTTTAGAACGTGCAAATAGACATGTACGTGCACAACGTAGCATATACAAATGCAGGATCTTAATTTGATCACTATGTTATTGCAGGAAATGTCCTACACAGCAGGAAATGCAAACATTATGTATTCAAAGTTTAAAAGGCTTCTAACATTTCTGTAATTTCCACTTTATAATGTCAGACTTGATTTGCCCTTACTAATGTATCAACCCCTACAAAACCCGACAAAAATATTCATTAATTATAATCCACAAAATAATTCCCATTTCCTGTTGCTGCAGGATTATTTTCCTGCTCTCTCTTTATTGTTGAAATGTTTTTACACTTGAATGTCTTTGTGTCAAATTGTTACTCTCTGGTGATGGTATGCCTACGCAGTTCTACACTTTGAAATGCAAATAGACCGCAGTCTATTAAAGGCAGCTTCCTTTTTCTGTTGTCAAGATCAAACTTCAAGCTTCTCACACAGCTTCAAGAAGTAGAAGGTAAAAGTGGGGACTTCATTTAAAGGTGAAAAACTTCTGCAGGCTTGGTGGGTGGCAATCACATTAAAAGACTGCCTTTGTCAGAGCTCCTCTCATTTTAAGGTAAGACATTTATAAACAGTCAGAACCAACAGAAATAACGATGTGTGTTCAGTTAACGTGGAATTAACAGACCACTTCCCATACAGACTGCTTTGCTTTATCTTGGCCAGGTCGTAGTTGTAAATGAGAACTTGTTCTCAACTGGCTTACCTGGTTAAATAAAGGTGAAAATAAATAAATTAATAAAAAAGTTTAAAGTGTTACAATGATGGTGTATGTCACTATACAAACCTTAGCCTCTGAACCCTAAAACAGCAATTGACTAACTGATTTTGATTGTAACTTTTAGTAGATTTACTTTTAGTAATACACTATTAAAATAATAAGACATTACCAACTTCATAAGAATGTAATGTTCCTCATTTTAGATTTAATCAGTACTAACATCATAATAATGTTCATACTCTCCATCTTAGTGAGAATGATGTCCAATCATTCACACGGACCACACCTCTGTAACACCAACATGACAGAGGAGGTAAGGCTGTTCCAGATGGTTGTGTACAGCCCTGTGTTTGTTCTGGGTCTGGTCCTGAACCTCTCTGCACTGAGGATGTTCTATCGTATGAGAGCCAGCTGGACAGACACACACGTCTACATGTTCAACCTGGCCGTGGCCGACTGTGCCCTCATCACCTTCCTGCCCTTCAGGATCTACCACACCTTCTTCACCCTGGACTCTCCAGGCTTCTGTGCTGTTCTGGTTCTGATCCACTTCACCAACATGTACGCTAGTATCTTCACTGTTACAGCTATAAGTGTCCAGAGATTCATTGCCATTCAGTTTCCCTTCCACTCGGGGAGAATGTGCTCCAAAAAACAAGTGGCTGTTGTAGTGTGTGTGATGATATGGGTGACTATTGTGTTCCTATGTGTGATATTCAGGGAGCCCAATAGGCCTGAACACAGACTGGCCTGCTTTGAGAGAGACTCACATCCATTTCCACTGGGCTTCATTGTGACTCTGGAGATATTGGGATATATGGTTCCTCTTCTCACAATGCTGCTTTGTTCATGTCAGACGATCTGCACTCTGCTGACCTACAAGGACATGCAGTCATATGAGCACAAGAGGAAAAGTATTAGAATAATATCAGCCAATATGGTAGTCTTTTTAATCTGTTACACTCCTATCCATATTGCATTTTTCATGAAATTCTATGTTGCTTCCAAAGACCCTCTTGACTGCCAACAGTATAATTTGATGCATAACTTCTATCAAATCTCAGAAGGGATTGCCACAACAAACTGCTGTTTAGATGCTATTGGATATTTCTTCTTAGTGAAGGAGTTCCGGAAGGAACTGATTCCAGGGAGGTTAACGAAAAGAGAGAACCAAGAAGACTCTTCAGAGAGAATTTTTCTCTCTAGAACTGTATAGGTATAAATGGAGAGGAATTTTCAGCTACTCCATATTCTGTTTTCGCCTTGTGAATGCTGTCACTTGAAGTATCATAAAATAATTCTGATGGTTATACAGATATATAAATGATATACATATTTTCCTACTATCTAGGTGTCTGGTGTTGTCTCTTTCTAACAACTGAAGGGTAGCATAAAATGTTGAAAACTGTGCTGCTTTTCTGGACCTAACCTTTTGGCAGGCTAATGTCTCCCCCATGTGTTCAGGCTGGTCATCACATTTATGCTAAAATACAGTACATTTCCATTATTGGATGATTGATATTGACATGGTTTATATTGAATAATCAACATTGACATAGTTTATATTCGAAAATTGATATTGAAAAGGCATCTAAAAATATATATTTTAGACAATATAAGTCAGAATAGAAATACCCCATTATAGTAATCATATACGGTAACATCGTAGAGAGTAATATTATATGGATGGTCTCTGTCCCAGGAGACCACTGTGGTCGTTAAATAGAGACCTGATCAATGTCCATACTGATATTGATTGTGTAATTCTACAGTCCTTTGCGCCCTCTGTGCCTGTTTGTGTGTGAGTGTGTGTGATCTGTATGTTCGTGTGCTGCGTAGGCAGCCCCCGTGTCTGTGTTGGTGCCTGAAAGCAAACAGATAGAGCATTAAACAGAATTACCTTCTCCTTCTCTCTGTCTGAGGTACCTGATGAATATGTAGGCTAGAGGGCCCTCAAATTACACCCTGTGTCTTATATTATATTCATGATGTTTACACAATTCAGCCCTGTAATTAATGCAAAAAGACAAGATGTGGCTGGAATCTGAATACACATAACAGGGCTGTGAGAGTGTGTTAGCCTGCAGTGAGCTTAGATGTAGGTCAACCCGACAGTGTCTGCTGGGCTGGCATTGGTCCAATCCATTCATGAATCAGATTCATCACATGAATGTGCCCCTGGCTCGGCTGATTGATTCTGAGATTTATGAAAACAGGTGACGGCCAGTAAGGGATGTGGTGGCTGAGTTAGGGAGGGCTGCAGGCCTCCAGCACTTCACTGCCGGTGATGAGGACCCATCAAGCACTGACAGGCCTCACAACCCCTTTACCTGTCAACAGTTGTGTTGCTGCCTCATACACTCCCCAGAGAGAGAACGAGAGAGAGAGCGAGAGAGACAAGACTATTTGAGTTCATTTCTATTATTCATTCTTTTGGATGGTTAATGCTCACAATAGTCAAATGCGGTATTACTCATTATGGCAAAGTGGAGGACTGCACTGGACTGCCATGGCAGAGGGAGAGCCATGGTTCAGGCCTTATTTTATGTCACAGGCCGTTGTCACAGGCCGTTGATGGAGAAACAGCACTCTCTGTTGGACAGTGGTGGTATTTTCTAACTACGCCATGGCTAAACAGAAGTGTACATTTTAGTCATTTAGCAGACGCTCTTATCCAGAGCAACTTACAGTTGCATACATTATTTTTCATACTGGCCCCCCCGTGGGAATCGAACCCACAAATCTGGCGTTGCAAACACCATGCTCTACCAACTGAGCTACATCCCTGCCGGCCATTCCCTCCCCTACCCTGGACGACGCTGGGCCAATTGTGCGCCGCCCCATGGGTCTCCCGGTCGCGGCCGGCTACGACAGAGCCTGGATTCGAACAAGGATATCTAGTGGCACAGCTGGCACTGCGATGCAGTGCCTTAGACCACTGCGCCACTCAGGAGTATACTAACGCATTTGACACTCAATTGATAGCAAAGTATTAAATGTGTATCTTACAAATAAAGTTGAAGCATAGACTAGTAATTAATTATATACTGTCTATATAAATACTGTTATCCCCTTAGGAGGTGAAGAAAAACTAATTAACCAGAGCAAAAACTGTCACAGGTAGATGGTCAATGTCTGAGTGGTTTATTAGAATAAGAAAGTTGACAGAGAGCAAAGTCTCCATGCTAAGTGACAGGGTGTGTGTGTGTGTGTCTTGTGCAGTTGCTTGAGGGTGCATGCATGTGTTTGTCTGATGGACATTTGTGGACACAAGCACACACACTTGCATGTACTGTACAAATTTACACGTCTCTACATCTGTACACACAGAGGCTGTGTCATGCAGCTACTGCACTTAAATTACATTTAAGCATGGAGATGATGTACACACAGGGACACGTGGTGTTTTTTCATGACAGTGTCCCTGGTCACAGACAGAGACAGACAGCCTCTGGTGAGAGCCACAGGACTGCAGGAGTCCATCACAGTAGCAGGAGACTCGAATCTGGAGGAAAAGTGGGAAAGTTATCTTTGTCATGATCGCCAGTCTGTATCGCTATCTCCTCTCCTCTTCTCCTCTTCTCCTCCTCTCAGACACGACTCAGGCATCAGAGTGGGAGCAAATACTGAGATGCTGTTCACAGTACAGAATCCTCATTATCCTCATCATCATCATCCTCCTCCTCATCTTCTTCTTCCTCCTCCTCCTCCTCCTCCTCCTCCTCCTCCTCCTCCTCCTCCTCCTCATCACCATCATCATCAAACTCACACACCAAAGAGCAAATCAAAATCCAATACAACAAATCCCCAAAAACACAAACCAATATTACCATAGAAACAAAAAAATCTAAAAAGAATGAAAACATGACAAGAATGATCAGTGCGGACTAAATAGAATGTTCTCTAGAACTTTACAAAAATGCAAACGTTTTTTGTGCTTATCCTTCGATGTGTTTCGCTGGATGAGTAAAATGTCTGCTGCCTGTGTTTATTCCTCAGCAGACTGGGTTACAGGTCTCCTTATTTGGTTTGGGTCTTTCTAGGGCGTCCCATCCCGACATGGCAGTTTCTGGCCGGGGGCCATTAGCTAAATCACTAGGTTACAGAGGAAAACAAGCCAACAACAGACAATGGCATGGCCTCAGGCACACATACACAGTCCATGATATTTATACACACAGATCGGGTCATGTGGGGTGGGTGGGGGGACTGTGTGTGAGGGGGAGAGGAGAGTGACACTGTGTGAGCTACATATCAAACAGACCCAAACAAAAATCTCCCAGCAGAAAGTAATGGCTGCCAAAGAAAACAATTTACTGCATCAGAGGATTGCTAATGTATGAAAAAACGGTTAAAACATTTGAAGTCTGATTTTCAGAGAGCAAAGATTTTTGAGCGCTTCACAGTAAATTACCCAGATTTCTCATTCTGGTGTTGACACATTTAAAACTGCCTCTGTTTGATTGTAGCAGCTAAACAGCAGAGGGACACAGCATGGTTCTACATCATGGGGTAGAGAAGAAGAGGCTGATTGTGTGTGTGAAACACGTGTGTATATGTGTGTGTCTGTCTGTGTGCAAGCCTGAAGCGTTGTATAAAGGGGATCACTAGTCATGGGGGACTAAGATAATTATATTATCATGTGTGGCTCTTCCAAAGAGCACATCTCTGGGTCTGAGTCACAAGTCTGGCCTCCCTCCTCCCTGGCCTGGGGATGTCAGTGGATCGTAATTCAATTACATCCTGAATTTGGTTAGGGTGCAGTGTGTGTATGAGTGCATGTGTAACTGTGTGTGTGTGTGTGTGTGTGTGCTAGTGAGAATGTGAGTGTGTGTGTGTGTGTGTATGCAGGGGTGGTTTCTGTCGAGGAGAGTGGGTGCTTGTCTCCCTCTCGATGTGTCTGTAGTAATCGTCTCAGAGGCTCATCACGCCATTAGGGGATGGGATGTACTTTGCCTAATCAAGCATGTTTAGTGAAACAGTGTAAGAGAGGGAGTTGGAGCATGGCTGGCTGGGCAGGCAGAGCAGGCCTCAATCACACACTGCACTTAGGAGATGCCACTGGCTGGGTGACAGAGAGGAGAGGGGGCACCAGGGGGTCAAAACTGCTTCAAGGCCCCATATTCTCAACCAAGACTCCTCTCAGGGCTACAATGGAGATCGGCGGGGGGGGGGGGGGGGGGGTTGTTTACTATAGTATGGAATATGTAAAGAATGTCTGCACTGTGCTAATGAAATATCCCCCCCCCCCATCTCCCCAGCCCACTACATTACTCATTCATGGCAACACTCATTACTACTGTAATACAAATACACAAACAAACACCCACGCACTCAAGCACACACGCACCGACACACAGACACACACGCACGCACACGCACGCGCACGCGCACGCGCACGCGCACGCACACACTCAAACACACATGCACACACACACACACACACACACTCGTTCAGATGTTGAGTTGTTTCCATGGACCCAGCCATGTGTTGGCACTTCTACCCAGCTAGATAATGTGCTTACACTCCATTCATCTCTTTTAGTATTCTACCTCAATGGGTTAGCCCTTCACATTAAGACAAACAAACCCACCGCCCAGCCTGGCTCCTCTCCTCAGCCCACCACACAGCTGGCTCTATACAGGCCAGGTTTCCTCTCCATCTGCTCCCCCTGTTTTAGAGCAGCCCTGCAGGTCAGCATAGCTCGGTATTTAAGCCCTGCACATATCTACATGTGTGCACTGGTGCTGTTGTGTTCCTCTGTCCCCACTCTCTGCCAGTCATACAAAGCTCAGCCCAGCCTCTGCTCCTCCTATGCCCCTCTAGCCTCAGTACATCTCTCTCCAGCTCTACTCCTCTGCTCCTCCCAGCCCACAGACCCACTAATAAAGTCAGTCTATGCGCTCCCATGCGTGTTGCCGCCTGGCGCCCAGTGTGAGGATGCAGTTAACACCGATTTATAAATGTTTGGGGATTGCGGCAGAAATCACTCAGATAATGGCTGCTGGACCAGATATCTAGTGGGATAACCAGAGACTAACACGACTTCCACTGCAGTCTCCATCCTGACCCTGAAAGAGAGAATTATCCACACACACAAGTCATGACCCAGATTAACAAACACCAGCCACCGGATCGACAGGCAAGGGAGAGAGAAGAGGCGCGGACAAAAGGAGAACATCAAACAGAGAGAGAGAGAGTGGAGAGAGACAATTCACGCCCAAACAGTCCCACTTTACATTGTTTAGCCAGTGTCCCTTGTGTGGAGACGCTGAAAGGCAGGGATATAGTGATAGCAGTCTGAATGATGCCAGTCTGCCAGCCCCAGCCCTATGGACCCATCCGTGGGCCCACCACCCTACCTGGTCCCAGCCCCAGCCCTATGGACCCATCCGTGGGCCCACCACCGTACCTGGTCCCAGCCCCAGCCCTATGGACCCATCCGTGGGCCCACCACCCTACCTGGTCCCTGCCCCAGCCCTACGGACCCATCCGTGGGCCCACCACCCTGCCTGGTCCCAGCCCTATCGACCCATCCTTGGCCCACCACCCTACCCCAGTCCCAAACGGTGCCAGTGTCTGTGAGGGGGCCGGAGGGACGGGAAGGGGGGCGCTGCTTTCCTCATTGATATTCCACTGGGCTAGGTCGCTGGGTTTGTCCCGCCTGCACTGACTCTTAACGGCTATTTGTTGTAGCCGTCTCCTCCTGCTCCAGGGCACAAAGAGGCTCAGTGTCAGGGAGAGGAGCCTGAATGGAGCTCCCCAGTGGCAGGGTAGAGGACCTGCTAGCTCCCACAGCCATGCTCACATTCCCCTACATGGGCTGTGTGCTCTCCTCTCTGCTAGGTTGGGCAGCCCAGGCATCAGGTCAGGTCACACAGACCCAGGGAGAGGGAGACAGATAAGGAGGGAGGGAGGGGGAGTTCTGCCCTCTTTCCTTGGTCCCTCCACTTCTCCAAGGAAACACAGCATTTTTTTTAAATGGAAAGGTACCATCTTCTTATCTCCTCCCTCCTGGTTTTTGCCCCCTCCACCTTGACATGTTCAAGTCCAGTGGTCGTTGCTAGTTCTGGGCTCAAGACTCGGGTGGGGATGTAATCATTGCATGGTCTGATTTATAAACACTTAATAGAGCTTTAGAAACACTAAAAATGTGTTTTTTCCATGATTGTTAACACAATGGGAAGAATCGTTGACATCATTACCAAGCTTATTCCTATAAGAAGATCCAGTGTGTTGTATACTGACATTAAGACAGGAAGCCTCTCCTTTAATGCATGATTCAGTGTTCTCTGGCATTGCTAATACCTGCCAAACACAAGCTGAGTGATAGAGCTGAGTGATAGAGTTGGCCTGAAAACCAAGGACAAGCACATGGTTGTCTGCTGGATGCTGGCACAAAAGCAAAGCAGAAATAAAAATGTCACACACAAAGAATGACTTGCAGAGCACAAGATAGTAGAAGGAGACCTTTTACAACTGGAGCTGAATGCTAAATTATCAGTGAAGTGGTTCTCAGTTTTTTAAATTCCTTTTTCACAAAATGTCCCTTCCCTTGCACCCCTTACCAGTCCTTGAGGTTGGTCTCATTGTGTCCAGTCCCAGCTCCACGGGTTAAACCACTTACGGAGCCTTGGGGTGCACCTCTCAGGGCGAGAGCAGAGCTGTAGCCATGTGTAGAATAACCTCCTCTCTTTAACTCTCTCTCTTTCTTTCTCTCTCTAAACTGCTGGCTTCTGGTGTCCCAGTCTCTTCAGTCAGTCAGTCAGTTAGTCAGGCTCCGCGCCAGGGGTTGTCAGAACATTGAATGACAGTGAGAGAGGACAGACAGGGCTGGATTTGGGATGGGAGAGTCTGAGGGGTATTCCAGTTGCTGAGGGGAAATGGGTTTCAGAGAGGGGGGTTCATGGCACTCTTCTCCTCACTGGCCACTAGGGGTACGCTCGCCCACGCTCTTTCCCATCAGGTGACTGAAGTCGGACAGGCCGTGGTGGTTGGCCCGGATCAGGCCCGGGTGCTGGGAGGGGTAGGGCGCTCCGTTGTTGCTGTTATAGTTGAGCCCCTCATGGGTCCAGCGGGGGGGCTCCCCAAAGTCCATCTGGGTGCTGGGGGCTGAGACCACTCTCCTGCGGTCTGGGGAGTCCTGCGGCGTGGCTGGGTAGTTGTACTCGCCTGCAGAGTTCCTCAGGGTGGTCCTGGGTTGTCCCCCGTGGGGCTCCCGGTGGCTGGCCAGGACCAGGTAACGTGTTCGCTCCATGTTGGGGGGCCCCACGTTCCCTGGGTCCTCGTGCCTGCCCCCTCTCTCCTGCAGGAACTTGGAGCTCAGGTAGATGACTGAGTTGGCTGGGCAGGGCATGCCCACTGAGGTGAGGAAGGTCTGGCTCTGGTCCCAGTCTCCGTCTGGGAGCCTCATGCTGGGTGGAGGCCGTTTCTGCTGCAGGGGGGTCTGTTCTGGAGTAGGTAGGCCTGGGTCCATCTCACCTTTAGGCCAGCCATTGGGCATTACGAACGGGTTGTCTGCCTGGGAATGTGACCGGGGCCTCTCGCTGCCACTGGTACGGGTCACACTCATCACCGAGCCGCTCCGCCCCTGACCCAGCATGTTCTGCTCCTTGTCCCCTTTACGACTCCTATTGGCTCCTGCCCCTCGCGTGCGGTGGCGGTGGCGATGACTCATGATCCAGCAGACAGCCAGGCCCGACAGCACCGCCCCCGTGGTGAAGGCTGAGACTGCAGACACGACCAGCAGGTTCACGGATACCAGACCGTCTGGTTCGTCAATGAAAGACTCCTGAAGAAGACCTACAGACACACAGAGAAAGACAGACAGACAAACAGAGACACAGAAAAGGATGTCAGTAAGTCAGTGGATACAGTGGATATGTGAAAGACTGTTCAGATACTCTTGGAGGACAATGGATGTTGAAGAGAAAAATACATACATACATTATAAAACAATACATTTCTGTTTTTAGCCTTCATTAGTGTTCTAAAGTCAGTAGACAAAGCATCTCAGCCCTGGCCTTAGTAAACATGTGGGAGTTTACAGCTTGACAAAGTGGCCTATTTCTCTGTGCCTCAGTGGGTGGGGAGGAATGCTCTCCTGTGAAGGTATGCTATTGGTGTAACGGCTAATTGTGTTCATTACCTAAAGTGGATGGTTATTTTAATGGCTGTAATAACTGTCTTCCTGATTGAGAATATCTCCCAACGCCGAAGCGTTGCGGAACATTAACTTTGCAGCGGAATAATGTCTGTACACTCTGGACTTAATAGTGAATAATTGCTTTAAGTTCCTTACTGTATTTACACATGAACTTCACAAAGTTATTTTCTTCTAATGGTATGAGAAATTATTCACAATGTTTACAATAACTGACAGCACATCTGAAAAGAGGCATAAGACAATATGTTTATTTTCCCCCAAAGAACATGATAGAAGCTCCTCTGGAGAATGGAATATATGAATTATTAAAGCAGTGAAAAACAGGAGAGCACAAAGCTGCTGCCATGGATCAATTAAGAAAATGTCAGGAGAAAACTTGTTCTTTCGCAGTACCAGGGACAATACCAATAGAAAACAAAGAGCTTCCTCCCAGCCAGAGGAAGAATGGGGAAAAGAGAGAGAGAGAGAGAGAGAGAGAGAGAGAGAGAGAGAAGAGAGAGAGAGAGAGAAGAGAGAGAGATAAGAGATATAAGATAGAGATAGAGAGGAGATAGAGAGAGAGAATAGCGATAGTACTAAGATCATCGATATACTATCACTACTATCTCTCTCTCTCATCTCGCTTCTCTCCCTTCTGGCTTCTCATCTTATATATCTATGCAGCTACTTTCATCCATCCCTCACTACTTGCCCCACACAACATAGTAAATGTTTCTTAAATTACTCCAAAAGCAAAGGGATGGTGATGCGTGTGTCTGGGAGAGGAGAGAGGACCAGAGAAATAAAAGCGGGCCCCACAGGAAATAGATGGATGTCATTAATGGATGTTGGTAGCCACTTATTCACCCCGCAAAGAAAAGAGAGAAAGAACATTCCAAAATGCAAGGAGCAGCGGTCTGCTTTAAACTAACATACTGTTATTTTAATGGAGACAAATGGCAAGAATTAGGAGCAGGTAGAATAAACTAGCTAGTAGTTAATGAGTGGGTTTTGGGGCTTGGCAAGACAGAGTATTATTCATGCATTGACACGAGGCCGGGGAATTAAACACCACAGTAATAGAAGGGGAACCTCGACAGGCCACAGTGAAAAGGATTTAGTGCTAATCAAGTTGCCATCTTGGTCAATCAATGTCCTTTTCTACTCTAATTTGTGTTTTATCACTTATCCAATAGAGCCTGGTGTTACATGGAGGATGGCTGGGTAGCATAGTTACAGTGAGTGAATGATGTGCTGTGTGTCTCTGGCATCTTCAACTATAGATTGGACATAGATTGGACACACAGGGGAGTGTGCTTGGGCCTCTACTGTTTTTTCTGTATATAAACGATATGAAAGATGCTTGTTCTTGCTGTCTTTATGCAGATGACTATACACTTCTGGTGTCTCACAAAAGTAAAACTATGTTGGAGAGCATACTTAGCACAGAGCTTACTAACATTAGGTCAGTTAGGATCACCACTTTATTTTAAGAATGTGAAATGTCACAATAATAGTAGAGAGAATGATTTATTTCAGCTTTTATTTATTTCATCACATTCCCAGTGGGTCAGAAGTTTACATACACTCAATTAGTATTTGATAGCATTGGCTTTAAATTGTTTAACTTGGGTCAAACGTTTTGGATAGCCTTCCACAAGCTTCCCACAATAAGTTGGGTGAATTTTGGCCCCTTCCTCCTGACAGAGCTGGTGTAACTGAGTCAGGTTTGTAGGCCTCCTTGCTCGCACACGCTTTTTCAGTTCTGCCCACAGATTTTCTATAGGATTGAGGTCAGGGCTTTGTGATGGCCACTCCAATACCTTGACTTTGTTGACCTTAAGCCATTTGCCACTACTTTGGAAGTATGCTTGGGGTCATTGTCCATTTGGAAGACCATTTGTGACCAAGCTTTAACTTCCTGACTGATGTCTTGAGATGTTGCTTCAATATATCCACATAATTTTCCTTCCTCATGATACCATCTATTTTGTGAAATGCACCAGTCCCTCCTGCAGAAAAGCACCCTCACAGCATGATGCTGCCACCCTCGTGCTTCACAGTTGGGATGGTGTTCTTCGGCTTGAAAGCTACCCCGTTTTTCCTCCAAACATAACAATGGTCATTACGGCCAAACAGTTCTATTTTTGTTTCATCAGACCAGAGGACATTTCTCCAAAAAGTACAATCTTTGTCCCCATGTGCAGTTGCAAACCGTAGTCTGGCCTTTTTATGGCGGTTTTAGAGCAGTGCCTTCTTCCTTGCTGAGCGGCCTTTCAGGTTATGTCGATATAGGACTCGTTTTACTGTGGATATAGATACTTTTGTACCTGCTTCCTCCAGCATCTTCACAAGGTGCTTTGCTGTTGTTCTGGGATTGATTTGCACTTTCGCACCAAAGTACGTTCATCTCTAGGAGACAGAACGCGTCTCCTTCCTGAGCGGTATGATGGTTGCGTGGTCCCATGGTGTTTATACTTGCGTACTATTGTTTGTACAGATGAACGTGGTACCTTCAGGCGTTTGGAAATTGCTCCCAAGGATGAACCAGACTTGTGGAGGTCTACAATTTCTTTCTGAGTTCTTGGCTGATTTCTTTTGATTTTCCCATGATGTCAAGCAAAGAGGCACTGAGTTTGATGGTAGGCCTTGAAATACATCTACAGGTACACCTCCAATTGACTCAAATTATGTCAATTAGCCTATCAGAAGCTTCTAAAGCCATTACATCATTTTCTGGAATTGTCAAGCTGTTTAAAGGCACAGTCAACTTAGTGTATGTAAACTTCTGACCCACTGGAATTGGGATACAGTGAATTATAAGTGAAATTATCTGTCTGTAAATAATTGTTGGAAAAATTACTTGTGTCATGCACAAAGTAGATGTCCTAACCGACTTGCCAAAACTATAGTTGGTTAACAACAAATTTGTGGAGTGGTTGAAAAACAAGTTTTATTGACTCCAACCTAAGTGTATGTAAACTTCCGACTTCAACTGTATGCACGCACCACTTTTCCATTATTTATTTTTTTTGCATTTTTTGAAACAAGTTATTTTTTTCATTTGACTTCACCAATTTGGACTATTTTGTGTATGTCCATTACATGAAATCCAAATAAAAAACTATTTAAATTACAGGTTATAATGCAACAAAATAGGAAAAATAATTTTGCAAGGCACTGTAAATTGTGTAGGTCCTCTGAAATCAGAGTGGAGTTAGGGGGTGAGGTGGTAACTACTAAAACCTCTGTTAGCTACCTGGGATGCATCCTTGATGGAAGCTTGGGAGGTGTGAGCATGGCCACTAAAGTGCCAGGGAAGGTTAATGCCAGGACTAAGTTTTTGGCTAGAACGTCCAAGCTGCTTGATAAGGACTCCATGAGAGTGTTAGCCACTGCCCTCATTCAATGCCAAATTCTTGACTACGCTAGTACTTCCTGGTTTGGGGGCTTATCTAAGCTTATGAAGGGGAAGCTCCAGATAGCCCAGAATAAGCTGATCAGGGTAATATTGAAGGTGAATCCACGTAATCACATAGGCAGGAGCTGCTTTCAGGAACTCAACTGGCTGCCTGTTGAGGCTAGGGTGTCCCAGATTAGACTGGGTTTGCTTTACAGGAGTATTTATGGTTCTGCGCCCAGATATCTAACTGATTTTTTTCCCCATATTATGCACACAATCACAGCACCAGATCAGGTGTTGCTAATATGTGCTTATACAGGTTCAGGAGTAATGCTGGGAAAGGTACTGTCTTGTATACTGGAGCCTCAGAGTGGAATCAGTTGCCTCTGCCCATAGAAAAAGACGTCCTCTCTAGGCAGCTTTAAAAAGAAAGTAAAAAAACTGTTTGATGTATTCTGTGCCCATATGAATGTACCCTACGATGTAACTGCAATGATGAGATTCATCTAACAACTGCCAAGCTGCCAAGACATTCGGGGTCACTGAGTGTAATGTAAGAAGATGGCGAGCAGAAAAACAACGTCTAAAAGATGCTAACAGTCAGCGAAAATCCTTCCGTGGTCCTCAAAGTGGTCGTTTCATTGAGGTTGACCGGAGGGTTTTTGAATATGTCAGGGAAAAAAGAAGTGAGGGAATGCCCATTACCAGAGCTGTCATCCAGGTTAAGGCCCTGGAAATCGCCAGAGAGCTCAACATCACTGGATTTAAAGCCAGCCTCGGCTGGTGTCGTAGGATGATGCGGCGTAATGGACTGTCACTTAGACGGAGAACGAGTTTGGCCCAACGCCTGCCGTCAGACTTCGGAGAGAAGCTGCTTTCGTTTCAGCGCTTTGTTATCAACCTGAGGAAGAAGCACTCCTACCCGCTGGATCAGATCGGCAATGCTGATCAGACACCCGTTTATTTCGACATGCCAACATCGGTGACTGTCAATAGAAAGGGAAAAAAGTCTGTGTGTGGGGGATAGAGACATCGGAGGGAAGTTTGGGGCGTTTTTTTTGTTAGTTTAGAAAATTGGGGGCCTTTTTTTTCTCTTTATTTAAAAAATTTTTGCTTTATTTGTTTTAAATTTTAAAATTTTAATCACTTTACTGTTTGGGGCCCCTTTTTTTTTTGTTTTTTTTAATTAAAACGGGTTTTTTAAATTTGTTAAAATCAAAAGTTCTTTTAAATTCGGCCAAATTATTCTTTTGTTTTGGGAAATTGCAAACGGGGTTTCGGGTTTCTAGTAGCCTTCAAGCCAAAGGTTGTAGCGCTTTTTGGAACCGTGATTTCTTTACTTGGGGTTTTAACCCGGTTTTTATTCCGGTTATTAACTAAATGCAACCCCTGTGTTGGAGTTTAACCATTTGTCTTCAAATGGATCATGTCCCCGGGCTTTTGGTTCTTGTTTAATATTTTGCATGTGTTAATGTTGTCTTGTTTTTTTAAAATTGGCTTTAGAAGAAAACCCTAGGAAATCGTATCATGTTTAATTATGTATTTAATTAAGTTTTTTGAATCAAGGGTAAAGGGTTTCTGTCTTCTTTTCCTTTTCCCATGGGCTATGTTTTGTTTCTTTATTTTTATCGTGGACTAAATCATTTTTTGATTTTAGATAAATTGATTTTATTTAATTATATATTTCTTTTTATTTTTTTTTTATTTTTTACTATTTTTTTTTTTTTTTTTATTTCCTTCCTTATTGCCAAAGAGTCTGTTTTGGGGTTAAACAGCGGGTTGTTTTGTGGGTTCCCCTTTGGGCCCTTAAAAACATAAAATTTGTGTTTAGGTTTTGGTGCTGCTGGCGATTCCCCTTCTTCCCCCTCTCCCCCAAATTCTCCTTCGTTTCCCCCCTTTTCCCTCTTCCGTTCCCACTTCCTTATGCCGCTTCAAATGCTCTCTCTCCTCTCCCCTCCGCCTTCTTCCTCCTTTCTCCTCTCCTCCCTCTCTTTTGGCCCTTCATATCGAGATGGCAGCGCTACTCTCTCTCTATCTCGATCGACTATAGCTAGCTCTCGCTCCTCTCATCTCTCTCTCTCTCCTCTCTCTCTCTATCTCTCTCTCTCCTTAGGCAGAGATAAACACATTGTTGGCATCGCCACTCGGCCAGCCTAAACATATCCCTGATTCATGCACTATTTATTTTCCCTTTTCGGGCCAATATTCAACTTGGATTCACTGGCAGTATCTTTTACATAACTCTGGAAAGTGCTGTTCATTGGCAGACAGGCAATAAATAATAAATGTCATTCTCAGGCTATGGCACTGCTGTTATCATATTATTTACTCTGGTTTAGGAATAAAACAATAAGGTAATGAATTGGTTCTTGGGTTTGGTAATTCCTAAAAACCACAAGCCTCTAAACAACGTTGTACCATCATTTCGTCCACATCTGGAAATGTTCATACTTGGTGGTCATGAAATGTTGTCAGCCAAAAGACTGCCGGTTTCACGATAATTGACCGTTTATTAACATAAAGATGTTTAGCATCTCCAGCCCTCCACACATACAAGCCGCTGATTCGCGCCTTTGGAAGAAAAAAAGTCGAATAAATCAATTTAATATACACCAATCCATTATTTATTTTAGGCAGGTCTAAAGAAACATTGTGATATGAAGAAAATGTATGTCAGAAGAACAGAATATGAGTTGGCCTACTGTATGTTTTCTGGTTATCCGTCATGATATAGGCTGTAGGCTTGTTCATTTAGCAGACAAGATATGCTTATAAGTCCTGTGACATTATTTTATATTATATGATTTTTATAGTCAAAATAATTTAATTGAATTTAGCTGAATAAAATAGAAAGGATATTTTTCTAATTCTAGAGTGAGTGCGCATATGAAGTGGCTACTGTATGTTGAGCGCAAAAGTGATCATTTGGAACAGGTCCTATAGCTAGATTTAGAGTTATTTGGCAACTTTAGTTGTGAATGATACAAACCTTAGAATGTCTTAGAAATCCAAACATACACTGAGTGTACAAAATATTAGGAGCACCTGCTCTTTCCATGACATAGACTGACCAGGTGAATCCAGATGAATGCTATGGTCCCTTATTGATGTCACCTGTTAAATCCACTTCAATCGGTGTAAATGAAGGGGAGAAGACATGTTAAAGAAGGATTTTAAAAGCCTTGAGACAATTGAGACATGGATTGTGTATGTGTGCCATTCAGAGGGTGAATGGGCAAGACAAAATACTTAAGTGCCTTTGAACGGGGTATGGTAGTAGGTGCCAGGCGCACCAGTTTGAGTGTGTCAAGAACTGCAATGCTGCTGGGTTTTTCACGCTCACAGTTTCCGGTGTGTATCAAGAATGGTCCACCCCCCAAAGGACATCCAGCCAACTTGACACAACTGTGGGAAGCATTGGAGTCAACATGGCCCAGCCTTTCTGTGAAATGCTTTCGACATCTTGTCTTTACTAAAATGTAAAATGAATTTCAATTTAGAATGGCCCATTATCCAATGGGCAGGAACAGGGGCAAGAGAAAGAAGACGTATGCACTGGAATAGTGAATGCTTTGCCGCCTGTTTGTTTTTCATGCCGGGTAGGCTACTCCGGTTTTATAGAGGAGCATGTGCTTAATATGAGCAGCTGAGAAATAAATATAGTAGCAGCTGGGATCCTACTCTTTTTAGTGGCAACCATCAAAACTTTGCTTTCACACGAATTGCACATAGAAATGTCTGGGATATACACTGCTCAAAAAAATAAAGGAAACACTAAAATAACACATCCTAGATCTGAATGAATGAAATCATCTTATTAAATACTTTTTTCTTTACATAGTTGAATGTGCTGACAACAAAATCACACAAAAATGATCAATGGAAATCAAATTTATCAACCCATGGAGGTCTGGATTTGGAGTCACCATAAAAATTAAAGTGGAAAACCACACTACAGGCTGATCCAACTTTGATGTAATGTCCTTAGAACAAGTCAAAATGAGGCTCAGTAGTGTGTGTGGCCTCCACGTGCCTGTATGACCTCCCTACAACGCCTGGGCATGCTCCTGATGAGGTGGCGGATGGTCTCCTGAGGGATCTCCTCCCAGACCTGGACTAAAGCATCCGCCAACTCCTGGACAGTCTGTGGTGCAACGTGGAGCGAGACATGATGTCCCAGATGTGCTCAATTGGATTCAGGTCTGGGGAATGGGCGGTCCATAGCATCAATGCCTTCCTCTTGCAGGAACTGCTGACACACTCCAGCCACATGAGGTCTAGCATTGTCTTGCATTAGGAGGAACCCAGGGCCAACCGCACCAGCATATGGTCTCACAAGGGGTCTGAGGATCTCATCTCTGTCCATCTCTGTCCATGCTCTGGACACTACGCTGACAGACACAGCAAACCTTCTTGCCACATCTCGCATTGATGTGCCATCCTGGATGAGCTGCACTACCTGAACCACTTGTGTGGGTTGTAGACTCCGTCTCATGCTACCACTAGAGTGAAAGCACCGCCAGCATTCAAAAGTGACCAAAACATCAGCCAGGAAGCATAGGAACTGAGAAGTGGTCTGTGGTCACCACCTGCAAAACCAGTCCTTTATTGGGGGTGTCTTGCTAATTGCCTATAATTTCCACCTGTTGTCTATTCCATTTGCACAACAGCATGTGAAATGTATTGTCAATCAGTGTTGCTTCCTAAGTGGACAGTTTGATTTCACAGAAGTGTGATTGACTTGGAGTTACATTGTGTTGTTTAAGTGTTCCCTTAATTTTTTTGAGCAGTGTATAATAACACTTATTTCACGCCACGCATCAACCACTGTTTTGGTAGCATGCAGCCTCTCGCTGTGCGACAGGTGATATTACGCCCAATCTCTGTATGCCATGGGCTCTCCAACCCTGGTCCTGCAGCTACCCAGTGCTTAATTTGGGAGACCAAGTTAAATCTGTTCGGGAACATCGATAGTAAAAATATTTAATTAAACTGTTGACAGCCCCTCTCTCTGCGCGCTGGAGAAAGGAATGAAGGAGAGAGAGGAGATGGAAATGCACGGTGGTGAGATATTCACTATAGGCTAACTCTGTAAACCGCCTTGTACAAATAATGAACCAACAGCATCGCCTAGGCCTACACGTTCTTTCCCAGACTCATGGATAGAAAGTTTGGAGAGTAGCATAAGGTAACCAGTCCATCCAGTATGCATAATAATACCGTCCACACTCAAAGACAATTACTATAATGTGTTTAATTTTAGAGTATAGGCTAGACTAATTATGTACCAAAGACATCTTTAATCAGTTTTTCTGCCGTGTGTAATATGCAGTATGTTATGTATTGTATAACGGCACAATCAGTATTCAAATTCCGTTTTTGTATATATATACAGTGGGGAGAACAAGTATTTGATACACTGCCGATTTTGCAGGTTTTCCTACTTACAAAGCATGTAGAGGTCTGTAATTTTTATCATAGGTACACTTCAACTGTGAGAGACGGAATTTAAAACAAAAATCCAGAAAATCCTATTGTATGATTTTTAAGTAATTAATTTCCATTTTATTGCGTGACATAAGTATTTGATCACCTACCAACCAGTAAGAATTCCGGCTCTCACAGACCTGTTCGTTTTTCTTTAAGAAGCCCTCCTGTTCTCCACTCATTACCTGTATTAACTGCAACTGTTTGAACTCATTACCTGTATAAAAGACACCTGTCCACACACTCAATCAAACAGACTCCAACCTCTCCACAATGGCCAAGACCAGAGAGCTGTGTAAGGACATCAGGGATAAAATGGTAGACCTGCACAAGGCTGGAATGGGATACAGGACAATAGGCAAGCAGCTTGGTGAGAAGGCAACAACTGTTGGCGCAATTATTAGAAAATGGAAGAAGTTCAAGATGACGGTCAATCACCCTCGGTCTGGGGCTCCATGCAAGATCTCACCTCGTGGGGCATCAATGATCATGAGGAAGGTGAGGGATCAGCCCAGAACTACACGGCAGGACCTGGTCAATGACCTGAAGAGAGCTGGGACCACAGTCTCAAAGAAAACCATTAGTAACACACTACGCCGTCATGGATTAAAATCCTGCAGCGCACGCAAGGTCCCCCTGCTCAAGCCAGCGCATGTCCAGGCCCGTCTGAAGTTTGCCAATGACCATCTGGATGATCCAGAGGAGGAATGGGAGAAGGTCATGTGGTCTGATGAGACAAAAATAGAGCTTTTTGGTCTAAACTCCACTCGCCGTGTTTGGAGGAAGAAGAAGGATGAGTACAACCCCAAGAACACCATCCCAACCGTGAAGCATGGAGGTGGAAACATCATTCTTTGGGGATGCTTTTCTGCAAAGGGGACAGGACGACTGCACCGTATTGAGGGGAGGATGGATGGGGCCATGTATCGCGAGATCTTGGCCAACAACCTCCTTCCCTCAGTAAGAGCATTGAAGATGGGTCATGGCTGGGTCTTCCAGCATGACAACGACCCGAAACACACAGCCAGGGCAACTAAGGAGTGGCTCTGTAAGAAGCATCTCAAGGTCCTGGAGTGGTCTAGCCAGTCTCCAGACCTGAACCCAATAGAAAATCTTTGGAGGGAGCTGAAAGCCCGTATTGCCCAGCGACAGCCCCGAAACCTGAAGGATCTGGAGAAGGTCTGTATGGAGGAGTGGGCCAAAATCCCTGCTGCAGTGTGTGCAAACCTGGTCAAGACCTACAGGAAATGTATGATCTCTGTAATTGCAAACAAAGGTTTCTGTACCAAATATTAAGTTCTGCTTTTCTGATGTATCAAATACTTATGTCATGTAATAAAATGCACATTAATTACTTAGAAATCATACAATGTGATTTTCTGGATTTTTGTTTTAGATTCCGTATCTCACAGTTGAAGTGTACCTATGATAAAAATGACAGACCTCTACATGCTTTGTAAGTAGGAAAACCTGCAAAATCGGCAGTGTATCAAATACTTGTTCTCCCCACTGTATATATAGCCCTATGCATATGTATAAGCTCTAATATGTGTATTTTTGTTGAGTTTAGGCTTTGAAACAACATCCATAACAACCATGTTTCCCACTCAGTTTCGACCTGTTGTTGAACTTCTTTAAATTGATCATCAGAGTGAGGTGAGTTTTAAAAGCACAATGTTTTGATGATAAGTGTTTGATGTGATTTTCGAATGCATTTGCATTGATGTCAGAGTGGTTAGAGGGACAATAGAGCGCTGAGTACCAGGCCATTAGTGACCTGATGGTCGTTAGCTAGTTGGGTACTACCAGCGCATGTCCAGAGTGCATATGAGGAGATTACGTGGAATTTTACTGCGGTCATGACTCATGACTGCTGGTGTGTGTGTAATACGTTCACCACAACAGTCCTATTCATACTTCACTTATACTGAGGAGGAGTTCTCCATTCATTTCACCCTTTCACATTTCGCCCTGAAAATGCAGGGCCGGGGTTCACTATGGCGCTTCAGATTAAATTCTGTACAGTGCAATAATATGCTGTGGTCTTAGTGCAAGGGAGAGGTCCCAATGAGCGTCTCTGGCTCAGCTGGAGAATGTGGCAATGAGGGCTGCCCTTTCCTGGAAATGAGACTGAACCACCATTGAAATGCATCCTCCCTATCTGGAGCAGCACCGTTCTCCTCCCATTCAGACCCAATGTGTCTTTCGCTTTCTCCTCACAGAGAGACGATGCACATCGCAGTCTGAAAGGCCATTAGTGAGTGTCGCCTTTGGAGCCACTCTGCTTTGTGGCTGTGGCTGGGGGAGACAAAGCAGCTGGAGCAGGGAGGGATGAGGAGGGAAGAGAGGGGAGGGGGGCAGGTCTCTCTCTGTCCCACCAGGCTGACAGCAACCCTCTCCTCGCCGACTCACTTATTAAACATTAATGGAAGCCGCCCTGACTGTCAGCCTGACGAACGCTGAGCACGTCTTGGGCTTGCAGCTCCAATTACAGGAGAACAAGCGTGGAGGCAGGATAAGCCTAGTTAGAGCTGGAGGTAGGGAGAAATGGGCCAGGCGGAGGGAGATGGAGCTATGGAGGCCGACTAACTAACTGCCATGTATTTGTTTTTTGTTTTTTCTGGGTGTATTCACAAGCTACAGAGCTCACATTCTTTCATTTCTATGTTGTCGTTAATCTTCCCCATATCTCTTCATTCATCTGCAGTCCCTCCTCTATTCCCTCGCTTCCCTGATCTTCCGTTAATCTTCCCCTGTCTCTCTCTGCATCTCCAGAGTTATCCCTCTGATTCCTTCCCTTCATTCCTCCCTCCTGCCCTCTCTCCCTCTCCTCCCCCATGAACCCTGGCTCGGAGTAGGCCAGCCTAATGAAAAGCCACAATAGTTAAGATTCTCTTCATTGAAACACTGGCAGCGTATGGATTTGCTCTGCCCATGCTCACAAATTGGCAAGTCTTTCAGCGGTGGCGTTATGGATTTTCAAACCCATCGCGGTGTCAGTTGCAGCGGGAATGTGGTGACTGGAAACATGCAGTTATTAACTGTGATGTTGGCTGCTGCAGTAGGGGGATAGAACAGGCTGAGGATATGGAACTACATTTCCAGTGAGTGGGTTGGCTCACACATGAAACACATCCAGCCTTCAAACTACAGTACAAAAGCAGCAACACTCCCGATGGACATGCATATGACATAAACACATCTGAGGTTGAAAGCGACTGACATTATCGGTGTTATAGAATGATCTGAGGGACTTTGATCTAGGAACCCACTGTTTCGCTGCATGTCAATGTACTTGTACGTACAATGTGCATGCACGTGTCAGTTCATGTGTGTACTGTATACACTCAGCGACCAGTTTATTAGGTACACCACCCCATTCACGAAAATGGTTCGCTCCTTTGGACAGTGGGTCCCGTGGCTTGCTATATAAAGCAGGCAGACAGGCATCGAGGCATTCAGTTACTGTTCGATTGAACGTTAAAATGGGTAAAACGGTTAGAATATCTCAGAAATGGCCGGCCTACTGGTCTTTTCACACAATACCGTGTCTAGGGTTTACCGAGAATGGTCCGACAACAAAAAAAATCCAGTCAGCGGCAGTCCTGGTCCGACAAATCCCGGTTCCTGTTGAGTCAGGATTTGGCGTAAGCAGCGTGAGTCCATGGCGCCATCCTGCCTGGTGTCAACGGTGCAGACTGGTGGCGGTGGTGTAATGGTGTGGGGAATGTTTTCCTGGCACACGTTAGGTCCGTTGATACCAATTGAGCAACGTTTCCATGCCCCAAAGAATTCAGGCTGTTCTGGAAGCAAAGGGGGGTCTGACCCAGATTTAGATGGGTGTACCTAATAAACTGTGTATATGGACGTGAGTGTGTGTGTCTGTGTGTGTGTGTGTAATGTATGAGAATAAGGGACTGAATGCACTGCCTGCACTCATGGCTCAGTGCTTTTGCTCATTAGCCCTTTTCTCTCTTTCTCTTTCTACCATTATTTCTCTCTTTGTTGAAAGAAAGACTGCAGGCACTATCTTGTTACTCTCTACCTCTATACCTCTAGATCGACTCTCTGCTATCGATCTCATCCTCCTAACTCTCAATCGCCCTCTATCTCTCCTCTCTCTCGCATCATCTGCTCTCTCTCTCGCCTCTCTCATCTCTCTCTCTCTCTCTACTCCTCTCTCTCTCTCTTAGCTCTCTCATCTCTGACCTCTTCTCTCTCTCTCTCTACTATCTCTTTCTATACTCTCTCTCTTTCTCGCTCTCTCTCTCTCCTGTTTCCCTCTCTCAAATCAAATCAAATCAAAAAGTTGTATTGTCACATGCCGCCGAACTACAAAACTGGTGTATACTTTACAGTTGCAATGCTGATTATGAGGCCCCCGTCCCAACGAACAAAGTAAACACGAAGGAAAACTAAAAATAAAAATCCACAAGAATGGAGCTATATACAGGGAAGGTACCAGATCATTTGGGCAGAGGTCGAGGTATTTGAGGTAGATCACGCATGATATGAGGCAGGTTAAAGTGACTAGGCATCAGGATAGATAATAATAAGAGTAAAATAAAGAACAGAGTTGCAGCAGCAAATGATGAGTGTAAAAGTGTGTGAGTGTGTGTGTGTAAAGTGTATGTATGTGTGTTTGTGTTGTGTCGGTATGGGTGTGTGTGTTATGTGTGTGTGTGTGTGTGTGTGCGTATGTAGTGTATGTGAATGTGTGTTTTTTTTTGAGTGGGAGTGTCAATGTAGTGTGTGTGAGTGAGTGTGTATATGGTGTGTATATATAGTCTAGTGAGTGTGCATAAGGTCAGTGCAAGATAGAGTCAGTGCAAGTAGTTCGGGTACCATTAATGAACTATTTAGTAGTCTGGCTATTTAGCAGTCTTATGGCTTGGGGGTAGAAGCTATCTCAGAGCCTGTTGGTCTGAGAGCCGATGCTCCGGTACCGTTTGCCAGACGGTAGCAGAGTGAACAGTCTATGGCTTGGGTGGCTGGAGTCTTTGGCAATTTTTCGGACCTTCCTCTGACACCGCCTGATATAGAGGTCATGGATGGCAGGGAGCTCGGCCTCAGTGATGTACTGGGCTGTCCGTACAACCCTCTGTAGAGCTTTACGGTCAAGAGCGGTACATTTGCCATACCAAGCGGTGATGCAGCCAGTCAAGATGCTCTCGATGGTGCAGCTGTTTAAAATTTTGAGGATTCGAGGGCTGCCGTGCCCTCTTCACAACTGGGCGGGTGTATGTGAACCATGTCTCTCTCTCTCTCCTCTCTCTCTCTCTCTCTCTCTCTTGACATCTCTCTCTCTCTCTACTCCTCCTCTCTCTCTCTCTCTCTCTCTCTCTCTCTCTCTCTCGCTCTCTCTCTCTCTCTCTCTCTCTCTCCCTCTCCTCATCCTCTTCTGCCTCTCTGACTCTCTCTCTCTCTGATCTGGGTTCCTCTCCAGTGTGGTCTCCTTCCCTCCACCACTGTTTTGTGGTCAGACATATTGTGTTTCCTCATCGGGCTGGTTTGTCAAGGCATTTATAGTTCCTCTGACTACATTACCAAGGAAGAGTCATGACTGAGTGAGCTAACTAGAGGTTGTGTAGAACCTTATAAGGGCAGGTCTAAGGTGCCTCTACTAATCAATATGGTAAAACATTTATGAACCCCAGCATGCGTTTTCAATTAAAATTCCATAATATTTCCACAAAACTTTGCTAATAGAATCAGGTTTTCAGCCGTCCTATTAGTAAAGGACAGATTCAAGTTTTACTAGCTCGGGCTCAAGGTAGCTAATTCCATCATAATTGCATCCACACAGTAGTCCACTGTGCTGCTACAATGCCCTTGGGCTAAATTATAGAGTAGAGTTGGTTTAAATAATGGTGTGTGTTAAATTCATATCCATCACAGGAAGTTGACTCCATCCCATGCTTAATTTGATAAGAGGGAAACTGTCGGCCAGTTGAGTGGTTCCTTTGTGTTATATTTCTTAACACTTTCTATTCACATGTTCCACACTGAGTGGGCTTATTTTAGTGGGCCTATATTCTGAGACCTTGCTTTTATTATCATGCCAGCCTTTAGGAGCAACTTAACAAGGTTGAGGCTGTTAGCACTTTCAGCTGCATACAATCCAAATAAAAAAGCTGGGCTGTGGACTGTGGAAGACGTGCTGAAATCAATTGTTTTCCAGAAAAATGTGTCTCAGAGGGATGCCGTTTTTTTCTCGCTTTCCCACTACTACACCCCATGGCCTACGGTTATGGTTGGCGTTGGGTAGTAATTGATATCCTCAATTTAGGTGCGAAGGAAAAGCACACCGTGGAAACTAATAATAAATCTTCAAAAGATATGTCACAGGCAATAAATTCAAAACTCAGGCCGTGTTATTAGTCTAACGATCCACCGGGGGTTACAACCACTAATTCCCCAATCAGGTACAGTTGAAGTCGGAAGTTTACATACACCTTAGCCAAATACATTTAAACTCAGTTTTTCACAGTTCCTGACATTTAATCCTAGTAAAAATTCCCTGTCTTGGGTCAGTTAGGACCACCACTTTATTTTAAGAATGTGAAATCTCAAAATAATAGCAGAGAGAATTATTTATTTCAGCTTTTATTTCTTTCATCACATTCCCAGTGGGTCAGAAGTTTACATACACTCAATTAGCATTTGGTAGCATTGCCTTTAAATTGTTTAACTTGGGTCAAACGTTTCGGGTAGCCTTCCACAAGCTTCTCACAATAAGTTGGGTGAATTTTGGCCCCTTCCTCCTGACAGCTGGTGTAACTGAGTCAGGTTTGTAGGCCTCCTTGCTCGCACACGCCTTTTCAGTTCTGCCCACAAATTTTCTATGGGATTGAGGTCAGGGCTTTGTGATGGCCACTCCAATACCTTGACTTTGTTGTCCTTAAGCCATTTTGCCACAACTTTGGAAGTATGCTTGGGGTCATAGTCCATTTGGAAGACCAATTTGCATCCAAGCTTTAACTTCCTGACTGATATCTTGAGATGTTGCTTCAATATATCCACATAATTTTCCTTCCTCATGATGCCATCTATTTTGTGAAGTGCACCAGTCCCTCCTGCAGCAAAGCACCCCCACAGCATGATGCTGCCACCCCCGTGCTTCACGGTTGGGATGGTGTTCTTCGGCTTGCAAGCGACCCCCTTTTTCCTCCAAACATAGCGATGTTCATTATGGCTAAACAGTTCTATTTTTGTTTCATCAGACCAGAGGACATTTTTCCAAAAAGTAAGATCTTTGTCCCCATGTGCAGTTGCAAACCGTAGTCTGGCTTTTTTATGGCGGTTTTGGAGCAGTGCCTTCTTCCTTGCTGAGCGGCCTTTCAGGTTATGTCGATATAGGACTAGTTTTACTGTGGATATAAATACTTTTGTACCTGTTTCCTCCAGTATCTTCACAAGGTCCTTTGCTGTTGTTCTGGGATTGATTTGCACTTTTCGCACCAAAGTATGTTCATCTCTAGGAGACAGAACGTGTCTCCTTCCTGAGCAGTATGACGGCTGCGTGGTCCCATGGTGTTTATACTTGCGTACTATTGTTTGTACAGATGAACGTGGTACCTTCAGGCGTTTGGAAATTGCTCCCAAGGATGAACCAGACTTGTGGAGGTCTACAAAATGTTTTCTGAGGTCTTGGCTGATTTCTTTTGATTTTCCCATGATGTCAAGCAAAGAGGCACTGAGTTTGAAGGTAGGCCTTGAAATACATCCACAGGTACACGTCCAATTGACTCAAATGATGTCAGGTAGCCTATCAGAAGCTTCTAAAGCCATGACATCATTTTCTGGAATTTTCCAAGGTGTTTAAAGGCACGGTCAACTTGTATGTAAACTTCTGACCCACTGGAATTGTGAGACAGTGAATTGTAAGTGAAATAATCTGTAAATAATTGTTGGAAAAATTACGTGTCATGCACTTATTTTTTTAAATTATTTATTTCACCTTTATTTAACCAGGTAAGCCAGTTGAGAACAGGTTCTCATTTACAACTGTGACCTGGCCAAGATAAAGCAAAGCAGTGCGATAAAAACAACAACACAGAGTTACATATGGGGTAAACAAAACATAAAGTCAAAAATACAACAGAAAATATATATACAGTGTGTCCGAATGTAGTAAATTATGGAGGTAAGGCAATAAATAGGCCATAGTGCAAAATAGTTACAATTTCGTATTAACACTGGAATGATAGATGTGCAAAAGATGATTTGCAAATAGAGATACTGGGGTGCAAATTAGCAAAATAAATAACAATATGGGGAAGAGGTAGTTGGATGGGCTAGTTTCAGATGGGCTGTGTACAGGTGCAGTGATCGGTAAGCTGCTCTGACAACTGACGCCTAAAGTTAGTGAGGGAGATAAGAGTCTCCAGCTTCAGAGATTTTTGCAGTTGGTTCCAGTCATTGGCAGCAGAGAACTGGAAGGAATGGCGACCAAAGGAGGTGTTGGCTTTGGGGATGACCAGTGAGATATACCTGCCGGAGCGCAGACTACGGGTGGGTGTTGCTATGGTGACCAGTGAGCTAAGATAAGACAGGGATTTGCCTAGCAGTGATTTATAGATGACCTGGAGCCAGTGGGTTTGGTGACGAATATGTAGTGAGGGCCAGCCAACAAGAGCATACAGGTCACAATGGTGGGTAGTATATGGGGCTTTGGTGACAAAACGGATGGCACTGTGATAGACTATATCCAATTTGCTGAGTAGAGTGTTGGAGGCTATTTTGTAAATGACATCGCCGAAGTCAAGGATCGGTAGGATAGTCAGTTTTACGAGGGCATGTTTGGCAGCATGAGTGAAGGAGGCTTTGTTGCGAAATAGGAAGCCGATTCTAGATCTAACTTTTGATTGGAGATGCTTAATGTGAGTCTGGAAGGAGAGTTTACAGTCTAACCAGACACTTAGGTATTTGTAGTTGTCCACATACTCTAGGTCATACCCGCGGAGAGTAGTGATTCTAGTCGGGTGGGCGGGTGCAAGCAGCGTTCGGTTGAAGAGCATGCATTTAGTTTTACTAGTGTTTAAGAGCAGTTGGAGGCTATGGAAGGAGTGTTGTATGGTGTTGAAGCTCGTTTTGAGGTTTGTTAACACAGTGTCCAATGAAGGGCTAGATGTATACAAAATGGTGTCGTCCGCATAGAGGTGGATCCGAGCGTCACCAGCAGCAAGAGCAACATCATTGATATACACAGAGAATAGAGTCGGCCCGAGAATTGAACCCTGTGGCACCCCCATAGAGACTGCCAGAGGTCCAGACAACAGGCCCTCCGATTTGACACATTGAACTCTATCTGAGAAGTAGTTGGTGAACCAGGCGAGGCAGTCATTTGAGAAACCAAGGCTATTTAGTCTGCCAATAAAAATGCGGTGGTTGACAGAGTCGAAAGCCTTGGCCAGGTCGATGAAGATGGCTGCGCAGTATTGTCTTTTATCGATTGCGGTTATAATATCGTTTAGGACCTTGAGCGTAGCTGAGGTGCACCCATGACCAGATCGGAAACCGGATTGCATAGCGGAGAAGGTACGGTGGGATTCGAAATGGTTGGTGATCTGTTTGTTAACTTGGCTTTCAAAAACTTTCGAAAGGCAGGGCAGGATGGATATAGGTCTGTAACAGTTTGGATCTAGAGTGTCACCCCCTTTGAAGAGGGGGATGACCGCGGCAGCTTTCCAATCTCTGGGGATCTCAGACGTTACGAAAGAGAGGTTGAACAGGCTAGTAATAGGGGTTGCGACAATTTCGGCTGCTAATTTTAGAAAGAAAGGGTCCAGATTGTCTAGCCCAGCTGATTTTTAGGGGTCCAGATTTTTCAGCTCTTTCAGAACAACATCATCATCTGTCTGAAGCATGGCCAGCCGTAGCAAAATGCTTGTTGAAATTCTCGATTATTGTAGATTTATCGGTGGTGACAGTGTTTCCTAGCCACTTCCTAGTGCAGTGGGCAGTTGGGAGGAGGTGCTCTTATTCTCCATGGACTTTACAGTGTCCCAAAACTTTTTGGAGTTAGTGCTACAGGATGCAAATTTCTGTTTGAAAAAGCTAGCCTTTGCTTTCCTAACTGATTGTGTATATTGGTACCTGACTTCCCTGAAAAGTTGCATATCGCGGGGGCTGTTAGATGCTAATGCAGTACGCCACAGGATGTTTTTGTGCTGGTCAAGGGCAGTCAAGTCTGAGGAGAACCAGGGGCTATATCTGTTCTTAGTTCTGAATTTTTTGAATGGGGCATGCTTATTTGCACAAAGTAGATGTCCTAACTGACTTGCCAAAACGATAGTTTGTTAACAAGAAATTTGTGGAGTGGTTGAAAACCGAGTTTCAATGACTCCAGCCTAAGTGTATGTACACGTCCGACTTCAACTGTACCTCACTATTTCAACTTAATCTTTCTCACATGCTATAGACATAAATCTAGCGTGCCACGGCTGTACGTACCACAATTTACAATATGACCACCAGCTGAAAACACACAACTATTTGTTTTGGGGTTAACACCTCAGTGTTTAGGCATTGGATTTGTTCCCATCACACACTGCTTAAGGTTTAGTAGTGGGATGATTAAACCATCTAGCATTGGTTGGGACTCCAGCCCATCTGGTTGGCTGATTGAATCAGCTCCTCCGCCCTGCTCCTCTGATTTACGACACACGTTTAATAACATGCCTCCAGCGCCATACCTCCGCTCCTCCACAGGCCCATGGCTTTAGAAAAGCCTCCTGTACACAATGAGACCAATCCTCAGTGAGATGAGGCATCAGATACACAGCTTTTCTGGTGAACTGGACAAAATCCCCTTTAAGGTGATCAATACAGTGGGTGTGGAGACTAGTGAGGCGAGGCGAGGCCGAATGTTACCTGGGAACAGCATGCTGGATTATAGTCTCAGTGAGAGACAATCCCACGAGTCTCAGAGACGATGTCACTCTGTGAGAGTTAGGAATGAGGCATTATGGGGCTCTGGGCCCTAACTAACTGCTGTTGGAACACTTTTTCCTCAGCCATGAAGCGTGGGGCCCAAGAATGCAGTAGACTGAGGCATTTATCATCCTTCACCAGATCAGCACTCTGCAGTTCGGCATGAATTTGTGTCTTTTTTTAATTTTTTATATTGACACGCAGAGGCCCGATGGCGGTGTGTTAGCCAGCGATCGGCCCGGCTCGGTCGGCACCTCACGGCAGCTGTTTGTCATGCTCTCTCTGATACCCGCTGACGGAGGAGAGTTGCTAGCCCATCAGTTTTCACCTTGCTACCTGCTCTCTCTCTACTCTCTCTGCTCTCCCTGCTCGCTCTCTCTCTCTCTCTCTCTCTCTCTCTCTCTCTCTCTCTCTCTCTCTCTCTCCCTCAGGTGGCTGACACAGGACTCCCCATCTCTCCTACCTCTCTCTTCTCACCACACTCCACACAAGAGAGACCCACATGAAAGAGAATAAGCTCTTCAGGAGTCCTCTAGATATTCAGGGTTTGATGCTGCACTTTGAAACTCCCTCACATTTCACAAACCTGCACCTCTCGTCAGACAGCAGGTAGGATAGGCCCAGCTGAAGCGTCTCAGATCATTGCTTTGTTGCTGAGACGTGTGTGACAGGAACGAAGGCTGGCGTCTGGGGCGCGTGGGTCGCCCCCGCCTCCTTCTCGTGCGAGGAGCGGAGCATGGACCGTCGGGCACGGATGACTTCAGCGTAGTAAAGGTCACCAAGCTCTCAGACAGAGCAGCTCTCCCAGGGCAGTCAGAGAAGGATTGCTGCAGTGTCTCTGTTGGGTTCAGCCTCAGGGAATGCATTTGTCATCTAGAGGTTTAAACGCTTTACTTACTACTCCCACAATGTAAATATAAAGCACTAATCTTTACAGGCTCCTTTCAGGCCTCTAAGAGGAACATTCCCTAACCCACACAAATTAGAATGACTCGATGTCGTAAATTTGCTAACAAATGCTCTCTCCACTAACATGACGCAACTGCGTCAGATCTCTCCTGCTCTCGCTTCATTGATGTGCTGTGGACCTCAATTAATTTGTGATCGCAACCCACTGTTCTCCAAGTCAAAACACTGCCTTACATTGGGAAATATTTTCACAGCACCATAATTGCTTCCATCTGTAACTGCTCTGCTCGCTGGTGAGGGTATGTCATTATGCCTGAGTGCTTTCAAGGTGGCATGGAAGGAGTGAATGGCGAGCGAGCAGCGAAGGAGCGTAAGAGTTGACTATCACGTTTTGTCTTGGTTCACACAGATGGAAACCTACTCGGCTTCCCGGAGACGTCTTTCTGGGAAAAGGCCGATTTGAAAAGTGTTGACTTGGAACGAGGGATCGTGCCAGTGGGACTCCGCGAGACTCTCTCCTGCAGTGACAGCATTCTCTACCATTTCACCTCGTTTAATACAGTTCACTTTAGCTGATGAGCTTTTTGTGCCAACAGAAATTGCTGTTGATTCCCAGAGAGTCTGCTAGTGAAGCCAGTGGGAGCATTGGAACCTTATCACTGGTACCATGCTGTCTGTAGCTTATGGGTGAAGAAATGCCACTATAGGGTTCTAGCCTTTTCCTATTGACATTGTTTTACATTTTGTGAGAGTTAAAGGTCCCTTACAACAAAGGAAATAGTAGACGGTTGATGTCTAGCCCGACACTTAGCCGAGCTTACCCTGTTGTAACTGATACTCCTGCAAGTTAGGTCATGACCTGGAAAACCTGAACTCTGCAGTCGTGTGGTGCAATAACTGCTCGTAAGTGGAGCTGACACATTAGACCATCAGTTGACGCCTGGACTAAAATCCCGCTCATTTTTGTGTTTACACTGCTGGTGTTTATTACCTGACAAGTTTAGAGGAGTTTCCAGAGCTGACTGGGCTCAACTCAAACATGATTAAAAGTCTAAATCCAGCATTAGGCTCGGGCAGCTCTGGGGACAGAGTGATTGAGCTGTAGGCTGTGGGCCTGATGCCAGGTAGGATAGGCCCTCAGCATGCAGAGCCACGCACATGCAAACACACACGCACACATGCTCTCTCTCTCTCTCTCACACACACACACACACACACACACACACACACACACACACACACACACACACACACACACAGAGTTCTGATTGGACTCATCTGACTAAGCAGCCCTTCACCACAGGTCAGCTCAATTAAAAGCTGTGATGTCTCCATCTGCTTTGATCAGGCCTGATTTAGAGGAGTCAGGCATCCCAAACGTCTGACATTTCAGGGAGGAAATCGCAAGCTCCTGTCCTGAACTGATCCCTAATTAAGATCTCTGTGTTGTTGAGTAGAGGAAGAGAGACTGTGACTGCCTCTCTCCTAACCTGGACTGGGCTGAGGTAAACCACCATGGGATATACTGTTCCTGCACTGAAGCATGCTCTAACTTTGATACTGTAGAAGGATAGATGGAGGGAGAGGGAGAGGGAGAGAAAGGTGAGAGCAAAAGCGAGGTGAGAGAGCAGGAGCAGGCAGCCTTCATGTGTCACCTGACAGAGTAACTGCCTCGTCACGCTGTCGGTAATGGGAGCAGTGACAATTCGGTGACTCCAGACATGGCAGTGGCCTTCTCACTCCATTTGTCACGCCCCTGTCCAGGACTCCGGGCTCAGCCACGTCTCCTTCCTCACCCCCCCTCACCTTCCTCCCTCACCCCCTCCCTCCTTCAGCCCCTCAGCCCTCACGGCTGCAGAATGCTTTATAGATTCCCTCCTGATATTTATTCGACAGATCGAGCCAAAGAGGAGATGAAAATCGATTCCCCCTCCTCTCATTCCAGGGGTACTTTTCTCTGGCTAAGGAGAGGGACAGGCAGTAAGATGGGCTGTTAGCAGGGCCGTCCATCCATCTCCCTCTGTGGGCCACCGACGGGGGGGGGGGGGAGTGGGGTCTGGCTGGAGCTTGGCTGTGGCTTCGGCTCGGTGGGCCCTAGCCCGGCGCTGTGTGTGTGCAGTGGGGGCACCACTGAGGAGCTGCAGAGCCCGGTTACGCTCCCTCACTCGGGGAGAGAGAGAAGGAGGGAGGGAGAGGGTGATGAATGCTGCATTAACCCATAGATAGATGGATGGAGCACAGCAGGCCCTTTTCTATCTGCCTGCTAGAGATTCAGTCAGGTGAGATGTGTCAGATAGAGAGATATGGACTGATATCCTTCTGTCTAATCTACCTCAGAGCTTTGTAGTCTCACACCTGCCTTCAGTGTGTGTGTGTGTGTGTGTGTGTGTGTGTGTGTGTGTGTGTGTGTGTGTGTGTGTGTGTGTGTGTGTGTGTGTGTGTGTGTGTGTGTGTGTGTGTGTGTGTGTGTGTGTGTGTGTGTGTGTGTGTGTGTGTGTGTGTGTGTGTGTGTGTGTGTGTGTGTGTGATTGAGTGATGTGAGAATGAAGACGATACTTCACAGGTTTCAAAGAGTAACACTATGAATGATGAAATGTCATAACTGGTCTCTTTTCTACTTGCAGCTTTTTGTCTTTCTCAGACTGTCTGGTCTATTGATAGATACAGAGATACAGAAATCTGTGTAGACCATGTGAGTGATGTACACTGGGGAAACTATGTGCTGTAAAAACTGATTTAGCATCAATAGGAGGAGGTAATTGAAGCACAAAGTCATCACTATCTAAGACACAGTGTCTAATGATTCTGGCTGTTGATAGGCTGATTCCTGCGCACCATTTTGGCAAGTGTACACAGGGCTACCGAGCACCATTCATCTTGAGACAACCAACAGCACCTCTGTCAGCAGAAGTCAGGACCGCCACACGTTTGTCATGTCAGTATCAGAACCGTTATCAAAGACAGCTCAAATTGGAGAATACTGGCCACATCCGGAGCTGAGGATAATGCACCTCTATCTCTTCTGACCACACAGGGTCAAGCAAGCTTAGAGGAAGAGTCACAAGCCACCGGCCCAGCACCCGTAGACAGACAAAGAGCTGGACCCAGAGGGGTCCAGGGGTGGGAGAGCAGCTTCCCCTCTGATGCAGGATTAGAGGCACGTGTGTGACCGTTATGTAATATTAATCTGAGTGGCTCTCGAGGTGCATGGCAGATGAACTCGGGGGAACTTGAAGAGGTGGAGCATTAACAAATGTCTCATCAGAATTAGCGGTTGGATCAAAAGAGCCACGGGAGTCGAGGAGATTTCTGTCTGAGGGATCGCTTTGCTTTGCTGTGCCGCCTTCATTTTCATAACAGAAAACAACTAGGAAAGATTAAGGCGAGTGGCGTAGCGGTCTTAGGTACTGCATCTCAGTGCTTGAGGCGTCACTTCAGACCCCCTGGTTCGATTCCAGGCTGTATCACAACCGACCGTGATTGGGAGTCCCATAGGGCAGCGCACAATTGGCCCAGCGTTGTCCGGGTTTGGCCAGTGTAGGCCGTCATTGTAAATAAGAATTTGTTCTTAACTGACTTGCGTAGTTAAATAAAGGTAAAATAAAAAAAATTAAATAAAAGATGCATCATAATCAGCCAGAAGTGAAAAAAATTGTAAAAGATTCTAAACATTGCCAAAAGATAGAGTAAACAGAGAGGAGGAAAAGATGGTAAAACATACATGGGGATTTCAACATGGCAATGATGATATGGAGCTAGGCAGCAGTAGTGTATTATGTTTTACCCTAGAGAAAGCAATTATGTAAGGAACACAGAATCAACACTAATACTTCTCAACACAGGTTGAGAGGACGGAAAGAAACACTTCTCTTACCGTCACAGTCGCCCAAGTGGGACACGTTGCCGTGTTCTACGTCTTGCTCAAACGGCAGTCTGGAAGAGGGGAAAGACGCAGTCATTTATCAACGGACACAAACAATACATAATGGAACGGCTTTGGTCACTGACAGAAATGTCTGCTTTTCTCTGGTAAACAAAACACTATCAAATGTACCAGCAAATGACAAGAATCGTTTTTTGTGTGGAGTTGATAGTAATAATACTGTACAGTATATCCCCACCTCTGAAAGCAGGTCTGGATCTGCGCTTTCCCCTCGTACTTTAAAAATAATTTACCATTTCTACTTTGGTAATATGAGACCTTGGAAAACCAAAGGGAGCTCTGACATTATATGCTGAAGCGACAAAATAAAAAGGAAATTAAACCGTTGAGTTCCAGCGGCAGTGAAACCAGACCAGGTGCATTATACTCCCCTGGAGAGAGCAGGCCACTCTTAGTCATGGCCCATATCCAGAGAAACATCAGCTAGTTATTCTAATCTAGTGAATGTATACCATAAAGGCCCTCTAACGAGGAGAAACGGCTGCAGTTTGGCCTTCAAAATGGCCCCCGTCCAATTATGTAATTTAAACATGGAAAGTGCCCAGGGCTAAAGGGCAGGCAGCACAGTAACAGCCACAGACAGCTCACTGAGATGTGTCTTCTGCTCTACCATCTGCAATTAGTTAAAAAGGCCCAGACAACAAGCAGGCTAACTGAGTAACTTTGAGAAGTTAGTTTACACTGAAGTGGTTGGAGGCTAATTGTGAATATATTGCTCACCCTGATAGGGTATATTGTGTTGGGTAAATGCAGGCCGCAGGCTGTAATCTTTAGAGTAGCTGGGTAGGATGGCAATGTTTTGTAACAATACCCTCAGCGGAGAAAATGTAAATTAGTTTAAGGACGAATTGTCTACAGGAGGCCATATTAGTGGTAAAGTTATAACTGAGCAATATGAAGTCTGATAAACAGGTACAAAACACCTATAGTAATAATACAATATCAACACATAAACTAATCAGTAAGGAACTTAATTATCTTTCTTTCAATATAGTACATGTCACAGTCTTATATTGCAAACTACTGAGAGTTTCTTCATTGCCCAGCATTGTTTTGACTTTTCCAAATGGAATTCATCCTCAAACTGGAACTGGGGCATCACTCGATACAGGATCGATGGGCAAGTTGACCGCCCTTGCTAAATCAAATCACAACACAGGAGTCTTAATTGTATAACGGTGAGGCCGTAAGGTGCTCTTTAAGGCTCTGTTGTCTGATACTGCTGGCACTGTACCTGTTTGCACACATAAATCAATAAGCAGCCTCTCTAAAGATAGATTTTATTTCACCGTGCTGGGTGGACGCGAGGGGAAGTGGTGGGGGAGCGGGGAGGGAGTGGGAGGGTTTACAGACCAGAACAAGAGGTGAGCTGCCAAGACAGGCAGGAATCTTCCTGTGGCAGGAGCACAAGACCAACACAACCCTGACAAAGACGTACACACAGCTCTGGGTATCAAGCTGTGTTGAAGAATGCAGCATTGTTGTGAACACACAACGGCAATAGAAGACATCCTGGATGAATTAATGAACACAGCTCGCTCTGACAGGATAGTAAAACTAAATGAGGACATGTTTGTGCAGTGACAGCTTGTGCTGCAGGCTTATAAACTGTAGGCTCTGTCAGAACCTAAGCCTAACTCACTCAGTACAAATAAAGAGTGTTACAGCAACCCAGGTGGTCCAGCAGGTATAGACGAAACAGAGAGCAGGTACAGACCAGACAGACAGAGACCAGACAGAGACCAGACAGAGACCAGACAGAGACCAGACAGAGACGACCAGACAGAGACCAGAGAGAGACCAGACAGAGACCAGACAGAGAACACCAGACAGAGACTAGACAGAGACCACCAGACAGAGACCGGACAGAGATCGGACAGAGATCATACAGAGACCAGACAGAGATCATACAGAGACCAGACAGAGACCAGACAGATACCAGACAGAGACCAGAGAGAGACAGAGGGCAGGTATAGGTACAACAGAGGTCAAATGAATGCCAGACAAAAACAAGACAGAGTACAAAGGTACCAGCGAGACACGGGACAGGTCCATAGCAGACAGGGACCAGACATAGAGACAGACAGAGGCCAGAGCAGCGTCACCCCTAGCATCTCACCTGGTCCCGGGCCTGAGGAGGGAGCAGGTGCTTCCTCTGGTCCAGCCACAGTAGGGGTCCCTGGAGGCGATGCAGTTCCTGGAGATAAACAGAGTAAACACTGTATTTAGTGACGCATCACCCAGGGCACACAGACACCATGGATCCATTCCCAATGTGCACTGGATTACACACGTATGAGTCCCCGGGTTCAGTGAACACATTACAAATGTGAAATATGGGTTACTGTATGTCATGCCTCACTAGGTATAGAGACTGCTGGCATCAAGGCAATACGACTCAGTGGTGGGTCAGCAAGAAAGAAAGTAAGACTTGTGTTGTGGTATTTTGGATTTACAGATCTGTGGAAGAGCACCTGGGGATGTGGTAAAGTATTTAGGTGCACTGAGGGTAGGCAGAAGGTTTAGGGCCTGACTAAAGGTGTGATTTTAATGATCGGTGGTGGACGGGGGTTAGGGTGTGTGACATATATACTGTATGTGGCTGAGAGGTGTGTGTGGGCTACAGATGAGAGTGTAGAGCTGAAAGGTGTGTGTGAGGTGTGTGTGTGACTTACTTCATGCAGCGTGAGTAGAGCTGGCATCGTGCCACAGGGACCCTGACTACACAGGAGGGGAAGGCCAGCAGCAGAGAGTGGCTCACCCGGTCCATAGTCAGGGACAACAACTGCCTCGCCTGAGGAGTGTCCTCCCCACACCTGGACACACACACACACACACACACACAAACACACACACACACACACACACACACAGAGTTAACGTATTAATGCACCCCAATATCAAACATCATATCACACACTGACTGCACAGAACCCTGCTCTATTCCATATTGATCTCATTACACATTATGCCAAGACAACACTCACTGCTCAATTCTTCACACCTAATGCTTCATGAAGTATAACTCAAACTAGTATAACTCAAACCAGTATAACTCAAACCAGTATAACTCAAACCAGTATATAAATAAAAGCACAACAATACCAGTAAAAGCAGTAACATGCCTTCTAAAGCATGGCAATGCCTGGTTGTCACAGTGTCATCTTCAGTATGCAGTGTGCCGATGACTGATGGGTGAGGTCTAGGGTTGGATGGACATCAAACAAGCCACCAGCTACACCCTGCATTAGCTCTAATTGGCACTTAGCACTACCATATCATCCACACACCTTCCTTTGTAGGCTGGATTTGTATCGATCTATATACATATGTGGACTCATGCATGGTAATAAACATGGCTGTGAGCTGAGGAGTCATTAGGGGGAATTTATCACACACTACAGGTTTGAGATTCTATAGAAATGTAATACATTATTATCATTATTATTATTATTATTATTATTAATAGAGAGAGAGAGTGAGAGAGAGAGAGAGAGAGAGAGAGAGAGAGAGAGAGAGAGAGAGAGAGAGAGAGAGAGAGAGAGAGAGAGAGACGGAGAGAGAGAGAGAGAGAGAGACAGAGAGAGAGAGAGAGAGAGAGAGACGGAGAGAGAGCGAGAACAAGCAAACAAGTAAAAGTAAGAAAGAATCAAATGGAGACAGGTAGAGAGAATAATGAAGGTGTGGACCATTAGTCTCTCCATTTCCACCGCGTAATTTCCTGGTTCATTATGGCAGCCAATCACAAACCAATTTGGGCATGGTGGATCTCTCTCTGTGATGTCTTGTGTTCCCGTTGCCCCGGTGATGGTGGCGGTGGCCCATCTATCTACCCTGGACCCATTAGGGGAGATGGTCTGGGGTTAAGGAAGGACAGGCTGGGAAAATGCTGATCTGATTTTTCCATTCCCTGTCTCCTGATTAGCTGGCTCCCTGCTATGAGGGTGACTGCCAGCCCTGTCACCCACCCCTATACCAGGCTCACAGCCACGCCACCGTCACCGCACAGCAAATCACACCCAAACCCACTCATACACCGGCACCACCACTGCTACTGCTGCAGCCTTAATTAATTGTTCCTGTGATCTGACTCCTCTGCTCCCCATTTAGTCATTTGTGGAATGGAACATTGCGCTGACGCCTAAATGAATGAATTGTTTTGAAGGGTAGCGAAGTTACGCTTGGAACCTCCTTTCACCTGCCGATTAAGTTTGTGCTGCTCCGCAACAGTGTATCCTACTACAGTAAAATGAGTCTGAGCAGAGAATAGATCAGGGGGCACAATTAGCAGCCGCCGTAGCTCTGGTTAGGAGACTCTTGCTTAAACGTTTCTAATTGGGCTCAGTGAAAGATAATAACCAACTAATACCCCATCTGCTTAGACTGCTTCCTAACCCCCCTGCGGTCCCACATATGTGTTACAGTGAAACACTTAGAGATTATTAAGAAGACGATCACAATATCGCACCAAAAAACCCATTAGAGACTGTCTGTAACCTGTTAACCCTTACTTGTCAGGGTTGAAGCCCTCCAGCTCCTCCAGGAAGACATTGCTGCTGGACACAGTGTTGTCCCAGTTGGGGACGATCAGGAACTTGAGGATGGTTCCCCGGCTGGAGCCCAGGAAGAGCACTGTTCGGTTCCTGTAGGGGCCAGCCTCTGTGTCCATCACCATCTTATTCAGCTGGTACCTGGACAGGCAGATATAGTGGTGAGATAAAGACAGTCTATCCAAACCCATGTTGACCCCTAGTCCGGATTACCCAATAGGCTCTTGGGTGGACCTGAGAGGATTGGAGTAAGCAATATTGGGTTAATTCCACCTAGTCTGTCAAACGGCATAGGGCAGCTGCTGTTACAATTTTAATGAAGCTTAAATGATCCCATCAAATCGTACATTAATTACTTAGGGTAGTGTCTAGGGCTCAATTTGGAATAGGGCCTACCTGCATACCTCTCACTGTCTAATCATACTGCATTGGCGCTCCAGACCAACTAAATGAGATTCACACAGTAAAATATTCATCTAATTTACATACAGAACTAATTACCAAGAGTACCCATTAATATCATTCAGATTAATGGACTTGTCTTGAGACAATAGCACCGTTGTTGAACTACATGAGTCCTGTGTGTATGAGTCAATGTTCTAAAATACAAGAAGTTGTTCCACTGGGTATTTAATATGCCACATACAACTTGTCACACTAATCTTCTCCTCCGTGCTAGGGCTCGGCTGGTGGCCAGCGGGGTTTGATACATTCCAGCTGCTTGCCTCCTGCAGCAAACTCTCACAGTGAGCGGATCGACTGGCCAGCATAAACAGAAGGAGCACCGACCAAGAGGCTAATTCCTGTGTGTTCATGCAAATTATGTCTGGGTGTATGGGTCCATGTTTTTGTTTGTTAGCAAGCCCTCAACACAGTTTGCCCTGAGACATGGTAAGACACCATAGAAGTCTACATATCTCAGGGCAACAGAACAGTATGTTGATGTCTTATCTGATGTCTGTGATAAGAGAGCAGAGTGGAGCCTCACCTGACCATGGTTCTGACGATCCAGGGCCTCTGACCCAGTGAAGGCACGGCCTCATCCATCAGGGGGTGGGTCTTCACAAAGTTCAGCATCTCATCAGGGAAACCATTGGATGAGTTGAATCTGGAGCCCTGGACAGCACACCCTCCTGGCCTGTGGAGGGAACAGGGCTTAGCACAGGCTGACCCATATTTGTATTTATTTATTTTTATCAGGCAAGTTCACTGAGAACACATTCTCATTTTACAGCAATGCCCTGGGGAATAGTTACAGGGGAGAGGAGGGGGGATGAATGAGCCAATTGGATGATTAGGGTTAGGGATGATTAGGTGGCCATGATGGTACACTACCCACCACTGTGACCTGTACGCTCTTGTTGGCTGGTCCTCACTACATGTTCGTCGTCAAACCCACTGGCTCCAGGCCATCTATAAATCACTGCTAGGCAAATCCCCGCCTTATCTTAGCTCATTGGTCACGATAGCAGCACCCACCCGTAGTCTGCGCTCCAGGAGGTATATCTCACTGGTCATTCCCAAAGCCAACACCTCCTTTGGCCGCCATTCCTTCCAGTTCTCTGCTGCCATTGACTGGAACGAATTGCAAAAATCTCTGAAGCTGGAGACTCTTATCTCCCTCACTAACTTTAAGCATCAGTTGTCAGAGCACCTTACCGATCACTGCACCTGTACACAGCCCATCTGAAATTAGCCCACCCAACTACCTCATCCCTATATTGTTATTTATTTTGCTCTTTTGCACCCCAGTATCTCTATTTGCACATAATCTCTTGCACATCTAGCATTCCAGTGTTAATACTAATTGTAATTATTTCGCACTATAGCCTATTTATTGCCTTACCTCCATAACTTGCTACATTTGCACACACTGTATATATATTTTCTGTTGTATTTTTTGACTTTATGTTTTTTTACCCCATATGTAACTCTGTGTTGTTGTTTTTATCGCACTGCTTTGGTTTATCTTGGCCAGGTCGCAGTTGTAAATGAGAACTTGTTCTCAACTGGCTTACCTGGTTAAATAAAGGTTAAATAAATTAAATAAAAATAAAATGGTAGGAGGGACAGATTGGAAATGTAGCAAGGACACCAGGGTTAACACCCCTACTCTTATAATAAGTGCCATGGGATATTTGGTGACCACAGAGAGTCAGGACACCCGTTTAACCTCCCAGCCAAAAGATGGCACCATACACAGGGCAATGTCCCCAATCACTGCCCTGGGGCATATTTTTTTTAGACCAGAGGAAAGAGTGTCTCCTACTGGCCCTCCAACACCACTTCCAGCAGCATCTGTTCTCCCATCCAAGGACCAACCCTGCAAGCTAGCAGTGCGATGCAGGGTGGTATGCTGCTGGCAATAGTACCATAGTACTGAGGCACAAGCTCACATTACCAATGTTTACCAATGTTGAACTGTGAGAAAGGAGCTATAAGCCAACTAACATAGTATTACACGACTAAACTCATACAGTAGATCAATGCTCTATGTTAGGTGATACTGTACCTTGGTTTGGGAATGAGCTCGTCAGGAACAGGGGTCCATATAGACTCAGGTGACTTTTGCTCCTTGAATCTCCCATCAAACACCCCAGCCAGCTGCTCCATGTCGAAGGCACACACAGCTGAACCAGGGATACTACAGAGAGAGAACCAGATACAATGGATAAGGCAGGGATAGATAGACAGACAGACAGACAGACACACACGGACGGACGGACGGACGGACGGACGGACGGACGGACGGACGGACGGACGGACGGACGGACGGACGGACGGACGGACGGACGGACGGACGGACGGACGGACGGACGGACGGACGGACGGACGGACGGACAGACAGACAGACAGACAGACAGACAGACAGACAGACAGACAGACAGACAGACAGACAGACAGACAGACAGACAGACAGACAGACAGACAGACAGACAGACAGACAGACAGACAGACAGACAGACAGACAGACAGACAGATAGATAGACAGATAGATAGATAGATAGATAGATAGATAGATAGATAGATAGATAGATAGATAGATAGATAGCCAACTGGACGAATAAAGATGAACACCTTCCTAATATTGAGTTGCACCCCCCCCCCCCCCCCCCCTTTCCCTCAGAACCGCCTCAATTCGCCGGGGATGGACTCTATAAGGTGTCGCTCAAACTGATGTGCCTGGCACCTACTACCATACCCCGTCCAAAGGCACTTAAATCGTTTGTCTTGCCCATTCACCCTCTGAATGGCATACATAAACAATCCATGTCTCAATTGTCTCAAGGCTTAAAAACCCGTCTTTTACCTGTCTCCTCCCCTTCATCTACACTGATGGAAGTGGATTTAACAAGTTACATCAATAAGGGATCATAACTTTCACCTGGATTCACCTGGTCAGTCTATGTCATGTAAAGAGCAGGTGTTCTTAATGTTTTGTATACTCAGTGTACGTTTTGAATTAGAATTCGTGAATATAGTTCTACAGGAAATTAGTAGTCAACGAAAGAGGAAATACTCAGAAGACAATACTATAGAGTCCATAAGGCATGTACAAGTAAAATGCCTGCACACCTTGGCTGCTGCTAAACTGCTCTTGATCTCACTGACCCAGAATGGAACATCTGCTGTGAAAAAAAGCTAAGTCCCCACACTTGACTGAACCAAACACGACAGTGCTGTTAGTGTGGACTAGAGTGTAGTAGTTAGTGGAGAGAGACAGAGAGAGAGAGAGAGCGAGAGAGCCATGTCAGGACAACAGGGGCTGAATATGAGCATCTCTCTTTCACTCTTGTCTCCTGCTCAGAGACCTTCTCTTCCTTTTGAGACCTCCTGTTTCTGCTAAGACGACGTGTGAGTCTGTTGAGTGACTTAGTACTTCTATTGTACAGCACAAAGTAACCTGAAAGAGTGACTCAGTGCCTGCTGGCTACCTCACACCCACTCCCTTCTCCCTTTCCCAGCTCTGACACTATGTCCTGAGAGAGGGGGTGAAATAGAGAGAGAGAGAGAGAGAGCGAGAGAGAGAGAGAGAGAGAGAGAGAGAGAGAGAGAGAGAGAGAGAGAGAGAGAGAGAGAGAGAGAGAGAGAGAGAGAGAGAGAGAGAGAGAGAGAGAGAGAGAGCTTAAAAGCAGTAGAGAGAAAGGGAGTGAGACTTTTACTCACACCAACACTCCAGTGTTAGGGTCAAGTAGTGACACACACCGACAGAGGAGCTTATGGGGTCTCTCCCTGCGCTGCCCTTGTGCTCCTAGGCCTGCCAGTAGAGTTGATTTCCAGGGATTCTCTGAGTAAACTGTCAGAGTTTTGCTTCTCTCTGCTGAGTAACCATTGGCTTTTTCCAGCAGGGTGCCATGCTAACCTGATACAGCATTTGACCAGGTCAACCTATCTCCCACTCACTTGCTATTCATACATTGTATGGGGAATATGAATGCGCCCCATGCCAGTGTGCTGTAGCAGAGCTCCAGGCTGACTATAGGCCTCTCACAGGAGGCACCAGATGTTGGCATGTGACACTGCTGCCAGCGGTACACTGGTCACTGCGTGCCCTCCACTCTCTCTTCTCTCTGCCGATATATGTTCTCTCTGCAGGTCAGTGGCTCTGTGAGTTCCTGTCTGACAGCCTACCCTGCCTCCAGCTCTATTCTTCTTCTTCTTCTTCTTCTTCTTCTTTTTTCTTCCGTTTTATTTCTCTGTCCTCTCTGCTTTTTATTGTTCTCATTGTTCCCTCTCACTCCTTCATCTCTGCTCTTTCATCCTCTGTTTCTCTTCTCTTCTGATTTCTTTCTCATTCTCTCATTGCTCATTTGCTCAAATATTTGCTCATGACATGGCATTAGTTTGTCTTCATTGTGCCACTAAAGGTAATTCAAATTGTCTCTCTGTTTATACTATGCTTTTTCTATTTCTGTCTGTGTGGAGCTGGTGGTTGACTGACAGGCAGTACAGGCTGAGCTCTGTGCTGTAGGTGGTTGTTGGAGTGGTCAGACCACATCCTCACAGTTTACCAGCAGACTGACAGCTCTCTATAGTCCAGCTCAAGTGACAGCATGACTGCTGATGGAAGCTAGTGGGTTGGAATGAGTTCTTCAGTCTAGGGCTAGGCTCAAGGTGAGGTGAGAGGATGTTTTGTTACGGCTTCGCTCTCTCTTCTCTCTCCACCTGGGGCTTAATCTCTCTTTCCACCTCTCTCCCCATCTCTTTCTCCACTCTCTGCACACAATCAAACTCTTTGTCATTTCTGTCCATGTCTCTGTCGGGCGGCGCACAATTGGCCCAGCGTCGTCCAGGGTAGGGGAGGGAATGGCCGGCAGGGATGTAGCTCAGTTGGTAGAGCATGGCTTTTGCAACGCCAGGGTTGTGGGTTTGATTCCCACGGGGGGCCAGTATGAAAAAAAAATAAAAAAAATAATGTATGCACTCTGGATAAGAGCGTCTGCTAAATGACGTAAATGTAATGTAAATGTCTTTCTGCTTTCTCTTACTTTACTTCTCTCATCTGTTTCCTCTCCACCTGGTAAGGCCCCAGTGTGTATTCTCCTCCTGCCTCAACCCAGGGCCCGGGGGACATATCCAGCTGTGACTCCCGCCATGTCTCCCTGGTGTCATAGCCTCACAGCTCCCCTGTCAACTGCAGACGCCTCCTTCTGACACCATGTCTTCTTGATGGCTCCTCTGAGGCTGGCTCCCAAGAGAGCCGTATGCTTTAACTAACTCACTCTAACTAACTCACCCCAGAGCCCTGAACTTCTCCAGCCGAGGCCCAGGCACCATCCGGTCAGGGCAAATCTAGTACAACGAAGCCCATTCCTAGCCTAGCCGGACTTGTCTGACCTCCATGTTATCTTCTCAAATTGTCTCTCTATCCTGCTGCTATAAAAAGCACCCCTCCCTTTCACCTGCAGGCTCAGAGGCTCTCTCATATTATAGCTTCCACTGCTCCTCTAGCTCCCTTACCTCCTGCAGCTCCAGGGGGTTTGGTTGGCCTGTGCTGTGAGGAGGATCAGGTGCTCAGAGGAAACCCAAGCCTCCCTTTCATCCCCTCAGACAGGAAGGAGCAGGGGCAGGAGAAGTGGACACGCTGAAGAACTGGAAACCCAGGAGGGTTTGGCGTTTGTGTTGCTAAGCTAGCTAACGCTGACATCATAGACCAGAATTGGAGATAGAGGCCTCAGCAGCTGTGGGCTGTTTCATGGGGCTGTAAACTCTATTGTGGGTTTGTAGGCATGAACACCTGAAGAATAACAAGCAAACATTAAGGGAAGCTGGTGGGAAACTCTTAAACCAGAGCTCCTTTTCCACAATTCCCACCCTAGTAGCACATGTGCACACGCGGGTGATGATACAGTATCTCAAAATGGCCACTCCAGATTTACCAAATCCTCTTCCCTGCTGTTCCCACCACATGCAATTTGTCTGGTAAGAGCTTTAAAAGTACGGTGCAGAGGACCACACATGGTTGGGGAGGTTTATGGCGTACCTCTCTGTCTCTCTCTTCCCCCTCTCTCTCTTAAACCTTTTCCTCTCTGTCTCTCTGTCTCTCTCTCTCTGCCTCCAGCTGTTTATAATGGAGCACAGCGGCGGAGCGGTGCCCAGGCGGGTAGTGTGTGTTAGTGTGTGTTCAGCTGGGCCTCTCCCTGACATGCTGGTCACAATGTTATCTGGGAGTCATTGTTGGCCCTGTAAACCATCCATCTCTCTCTGCAGGCACACCGCTCCCATCCATCTCCCAGCCCTCTTAGCCCTCCGGCCAAAAGATAAGATGCAGCTGATGAAACCGTTTTAACTCTTAAATGGTGGCGGGCAGGAGAGCTGCAGATGTGCCCCATTATTGACTTCCTTGTCCTTGAAAGGGTTTGAGAGGGTCTTCCTCCACTCTCTCTTCACTCCCCCTTCCTCTCTTTTCTCTCTCCTCCCTCTCTTTCTCTCCTGGCTGCCACAACAGCAGCCATTATGAGTAGAGGATGTTATTAGAGCTAGCATTAGTTGAGATTTGCCCTCTACTGATGTACATCCTGCTGGCTCCTCTACTTGGGAGACCTGCATCGATTGCCTATTAGAGTCTGCTCTGTATACACAGCACTCTCATCTCTCAGGTGATAGCCCAACACTTCTGCATTATATACGGTATATAACACAGGAGGCACACACACACACACACACACACAATGCAGCTCAGGGGACCTTTCCTCTCCTCCCTTGCATTGTTCAGTCTGTTTATTATGCTCTCTCATGCTTTCTCTGCAAACATCTTTAGCCTCATCTAATCCTTCTATTACCAAGAGCATCCCTCGTTCCTTCTCGTACTATTGCATCACTCCAATCTCTTCAAAATAACAACCTTTTTCTTCCATTTCATCACTCCAATCCTTTAACAGAATGTTTTGCCTCTCTAAAAGCAAATGCTTGTGGCAAATAAATGTGCCTAATCCAGAACTGTATCTTCCCACATAAGCCCTGACCATAGCCCTCTTTTCAGGGACCTCCCTCCCTCCCTGCCTGCCTGCCTGCCTGCCTGCCTGCCTGCCTGCCTGCCTGCCTGTCTGTCTGTCTGTCTGTCTGTCTGTCTGTCTGCCTGTCTGTCTGTCTGTCTGTCTGTCTGTCTGTCTGTCTGTCTGTCTGTCTGTCTGTCTGTCTGTCTGTCTGTCTGTCTGTCTGCCTGCCTGCCTGCCTGCCTGCCTGCCTGCCTGCCTGCCTGCCTGCCTGCCTGCCTGCCTGCCTGCCTGCCTGCCTGCCTGCCTGCCTGCCTGCCTGCCTGCCTGCCTGTCTGTCTGTCTGTCTGTCTGTCTGACTGTCTGTGTCTGTCTGTGTCTGCCTGTTTGTTTGTCTGTCTGTCTGTGTGTCTGTGTGTACCTGTTAGCAGGGGTGGAGAAGACTCCCAGGATGATGTCCCTGCCGTGCATGCTGATGACAGGGCTGGTGGAATGGAGTAGGTTGAAGTAGAAGTGGGAGTCTCCAGGGACGGAGCAGTTCAGTCTGGCTTTCAGGAACGACGTCCACTGCTTCTCCAACACCCTCTGAGAGCCACCCAGGTCCGCCTTACACACCCGCGCCACCCGAGACACCTGTACCTGAACACACATGCACGCAAGCACGTGGAACAGACAGAACAGTCAATGACCTCGCACCATACTACACATCAATGACCATGTACAGAGCTTTCCGTGCTGGGACAGCTTGAAGCACACATATTTCACACATTAGATTTAGTGGTTGATATATTCATGGGCTCATATTCATGAGTAAGGTTTAATAAAGATTGATAGATTTAAGTCAGAACTGAAAATATATTCAGTTTTATACCACAATAAACATTCTTCCAAAACGAAGTTGAAACCCTTTTTAGCTCTTGGGTGATTTTTAATCATATAATTTTTAAGTATTTGCAAAGCGTACGACCACATTTGTGAATTAATATGTATTATTCATGGATATGTCAGTGCATTTCAAATGGCTTCTTTGAACAATCTCAACCCACACAACTGTGGTACAGTGTAAGTCTCCACTTACTGAGAGCCCTATAAACATGCAGCATGAAATGCCTGCGCCAGCACATTTCCACCAAATATGAATTACTAATTTATAAGATAAAAAGGCTTCTTGTTACTGTCCTATTTTTTCATGAGCACGTATCACAAATCTGATTTGACTGATGCCATTTGGAGCTGTTATGAAAACGCTTTTCCCCGTCTAATTCAGACGCAACGTTGTTTGCATAGTCCACTGTTATTATATTAGATATGCAACAGCACAGATACACAGAAACACAGACACAAAGATAAATGGAAAAAGGTCATCAGAAGTACTAGGCCGGTATTGACATTTGAATAATTACATGAGATGGAACATCCAGGCAGGCAGACACACGACACACAGGGGCGTGTTCAAAGCTTTACCAGTTTGTCTCGTACCTTCTCCAGGTAGTTAAACTCCACGGCCATCTCTCTGAAGAAAAAGTAGATGTGAGGACCCCATTCTACTGAACTGACAAAATAGGGCTCTGGAAAAGGAGGGGAGAGGGCTGTGTTACACAGGGATAGCTACTGTAAGAGACTGAATCGGATGCCTCCCTAGATCCCAGCCACAAACACCAGGGTTGTGTTTAGTATGCACAAAGTTGGAGAAAAGGTTGGAAATAGAGGTATCAGCTAGGTGGCTCCTTTTCATTGTCAGTTTCAAAACATGTTATTGTGTCATGCCTACTGAACACCATCAAGCATAGCCCACAGGCACAGAGCAGACCTGAGCCCTGGTTCCTCTGACCTCAGCAGGGATGCTGCTGACCAAGGCTCACGCAGTGAATCTGACACAGATATTGATCCTGATACTAAGTGATGTGGACATAAACACATTGTCTTTAAACAACAACAACAGAGACAACACACGCACAAATACAATACATACACAGACACACACATGCACCCACAGACACACATACACACACACACAATTGCACACACACATTAACAAATACACACAAACGTACCTCTGAACCATTTGGAGTCGTGTTTGACAGTGCGAAGTGCAGGACTGTCCCCCAGGCTACGGTAGATCACAGCGTCTATCGCCAGGAAGTCCGTCACAGTGGCCGTAAACAGATTCCCCTCTGGCAAAAACACACACCGGATCAGTGAGAATGGGACATCGAGACAATTACAGCTCATCTCACAACCTATAAAGAAATTGCAGAGGATGGTTCATATAATGACAGTACAGTACACTAATCAATGCATATGACTGTTGACCAATTAACAATGTATAATTAGATGAAATAATTGCAGTGGTGCAACAGAGCTTCTAGTGCAGAGTGGACAAATCAGTCTATTTCTACTGCCCAGTAATGTGCAATAAAGGCAGTGTTTAATTTGTAAATCGGGAGGTGCCGGAACAAAAAGTACGTGCGAGAGTGGGGTGACCTGGGGAGTTCTGAGGTAGTGGAACGCATGAGAAAAAAAATAAAACCTTTATAATAAAGCATTGCATGCATATCATCGCATTTGCATAGTGGCATAGAGCAGCAGAGTAGAGGCACTTATTGAAGTTGCACACATGGGGAAATGTTTTAGTATTCTAGGGTCCGAGAAAATGTTGGCCTTTTATAAACGCATTTCATGCAATTCTACATAATTTTACATGACTGAAGACTTTGGCAGAATTTTTTTTAATACCGCACAAATGATCGAAATGGCAGGCTACTTTGGCACTGACAAATTGATAATCTGAGATCAATAAAAACGACCTTGTTTTGAATCCATCAATAGCCTAGGCCTAGGTGTGTGGAGACATATTATAGGCTACAATATGAGGAGGAAATTATAGTCCTAAAAATACTTTCCAGTTTTACTGACTCACCCAATGATGCGCAGCTCACTTGCTGGTGATGGCCGACGTGCTCGTGCCAAAAGCCTATCTCTCTCTCTCTTTTGTAAAACAATATTTGGAAGTTTATCAAATATTTTGGTAGTTTACAGCATAGAGTCTTCTCTTTTCAGCAGGAGCCATTTGCTTTCCAACCAGTGTTTTCCCTCGATTGTATTTGAAATATTGTGAAAGGCCTGTTTTGTCTGGGTGCTGTTGTTTCTCTGACAGATTTGCTGGGCGTTCCCAACTGTAGGCTATTCCTTGTTATTGGCCTACAATCCACAGCTATTGATCCTCTGTCGCTAAATTATAGGCCTTCTCGAGGTGTAGTAGGCTATTCTGAATTATTTCATTTATTTCTGAACAGACAGCAGTAATTCTAAAACTTTGGCAAATGTAATGTATTTACATGTATCAGGGGTCCTGCAGTTCATTCATAACACTTTGCGTGGCTATGATTCTATAAGGAAATAAATGATGAAGTGCAATGCTGGAGAGATGAGAGTTGCAGGCTCATGTCTATCAGAGTAGAGATAGGGAGTGAGATCATAGAAAGTGAATCTCATTCTAGTTATGTGAGACATAATGATGCGCTTCTCACATAGCCAACGCCAAGCGTTGGTCTCAAACATAGGTTAGTTACAATGTTGCCCAACCCAAATCAACTCTTAGAATATTAGGCCCGGGCAGAAAATCTACGTTTTCACATTTGGTTTTTTTGTGGGGGACAGGAGAATTAACGAAGAGGCAACTGAAACTTTGATGGCTTTTATTATTATTTTTCATGCCAGTCCAAAACAGGATCCGGCTCAAATTAACAACTGAATAAAGGCTTCCTATTGTTTCAGCCACTGCCATAGTTGATGTGATGATGGGAAACTACTTATGCTACACAATGATAGTGTTTTTTCCTCACCTGCAAACAGAGCCACGTTGGCGTGTTTAGGGTCATAGGGGCAGCGGGCCATCCCACTGACTGTCTCTCCCACCATCTCCAGAGTGTCTCCCTGGAACACACACACACACACACACACACACACACAGTACACTATATAGTGTTGCTGGGAAACAAAGAGTGAAGTTCACCCTCACATATTTTTTAACTCTGCGTCGTTGGGAAGTGCAAGTAAGCAAGCATTTCACGGTGAAGTCTACACCCATTGTACTCGGCGCATGTGACAAATAACATTTGATTTGATTTGACATACATGCAGATAGAGTATGGCAATTAGCATATATTATAACATATTCACAACATTATTATTCTCCCTCTGCAATCGTGCAAATAGTGAAGACAACAACAACAACAACAACAACAGAAACAACAACAGAAACACATACACCCCCTGACAGGCACAAATACACAGAAACGCAACCTTTTGAAATGCATACAGCTAAACAACCACAGGCGAAATCAAAGTTACACAGACGATTGAAAATGAATTAAATAAATGAAATGCTGTGGTTGTCATTAAAACCAGCTATAAATAAACCCTAGGTTTGCTAACTAGTCCCAGAAGAAGCCCTGAGCATGTCATCCCTACACAGGTTTCACTGCTCATTAACAGCCAAAGATAATGGGCCAGGTATAGAGGGAGTCAGTGTGCTGGTATGTTGGAGATGTGACAGACGGAATATAACACTTCCCTGAAAGCCTTTGACACTTAAACTGGATGCCCCCGTCTCCTTCCTTCCTTCCTTCCTTCCTTCCTTCCTTCCTTCCTTCCTTCCTTCCTTCCTTCCTTCCTTCCTTCCTTCCTTCCTTCCTTCCTTCCTTCCTTCCTTCCTTCCTTCCTTCCTTCCTTCCTTCCTTCCTTCCTTCCTTCCTTCCTCCCTCCCTCCCTCCCTCATTTACTCCGCTTATAGATACAGTATTCTGGAGGAATGTTCAGAAATCAACTGAGCAAATCATTAATATTAATGCACACATTTTGCTGAGCTTTTTCAACTCATTAGTCCGAGGTGTGCTCTTTCATCAGGTACATGAGCAGTGCAACCACTTAGCGTTTTCCTTCTACCTGTCTGCCTGGGTTTCACCAGAGGCAAAGAAACGAACCACCCAGACACATCATAAGCACAGCCTCCTCCGTAGTTCCAGCTGCCCCTCTCCCAGCCCTTCGGCTCTGCACTATGACCATCTGTCTCTGCCACTCTACAATAACAAGCGCCACATACAAGTTTAAGCGTGGTGCAATAGCTACTCATATCTAGCCGCTCTAAGGGCCTCTCTCTCTCTGCCTTAGATACGGAAAAAATGACAGAAAACAAGTTGTACATTTGTAAGTAAGCAACATGCTAGGTTCCAGGAAAAAGGAATAGTCCATTTATCAATGACGCCCCAATCACTAGGCCTGATGCATGGCTGGACTGCTGACAGGTAGAGATGTGCTCAGCTTCCCGAAGCAGTAATGACTGCTGTTTGAGTCAGACAGAATGCGTGTGTTCTATAGGTACTCACAGTATAGTTGGCACACAGCGGATTGAAGGCGTTGGTCCCACAGACAAACAGACCTCCTTGTCGACTCAACAAAACCTTCATGAAGTTCCGACACTCGTCCTGATAAGAGACAGAGAGGGAGAAATGAGGGGGTCGAAATCAGAATGGATAGTCTGTGACTTATTATCCTACTGCTAGGTGAAATGAGGCTTCTAAATGCATGATGGGAGGAATTATCATATCATTAACACTGTCAATCACCTCATTATTCAGGCCTACAGAGGCTACCTGTCTGCCCGCCTGTAGCTTCAAAGACTTTCGATTGGCTCACACCAGCCATTGAATGACAGATGGAAATCCCAGCTAACCTTAGGCTTTCAACCACCACTCGCTTCACTGCGGTGGTACAACCCTTATTACCATGTTAATAAGCAGCACAGCAATCACCAGCAGATCCAATATGTAAGTCGCTCTGGATAAGAGCGTCTGCTAAATGACTAAAATGTCAAATGTAAAAAATTTATAGTTCAACATTTTATTTCTGTAATATGTGTGAGTGTGTGTCTATGCAGTGAGTTGTATCCCTGTACATGTAAATCCCTAGTGGCCTGTACCCCCCTCCCTCCCCTCTCCTGTCCCAGTCAGCGTGGCTCCAGCTCCAGCTCCTGGCCCTGTGCCTGGCGCCTCAGCCCCTCCACCACGGGGGTCCACTCACTGAGCAGAGCCACTGATGTCATTGGAGGGAGTGGGGATGGGAGGAGGAGGGGGAGGGCTATGGGGTGAGTGTTATTCCAGACAGCATCTTATCCACGGTGGAGCAGAGCGGCCGAGCAGGGGTGGCGGGGGGCGGCAACGTGTGTAGAGTGAGGTGAGGTTAGAATTCCTCACACCGCTGTGGTACTAGACAGGGAGCCACTACTCACTGCATACTAAATCATGTGTGTGTGTGTGTGTGTGTGTGTGTGTGTGTGTGTGTGTGTGTGTGTGTGTGTATATGTGTGTGTGTGTGTGTGTGTGTGTGTGTGTGCGTGCGTGTATGCGTGTGTGTGTGTGTCACTGCACAGATTCAGTGTTCATATCAGTGTGATTTGCATGTTTGTTTTTCAGTGGGTCTGCGGTCTATAGGCTAAAAGCATAAAGCCAGATGTAACACACTAGATGCTTAATGACAGATCGAGACACAGCGCCAAAATCTCAGTTAAGATTGTACAATAAATACCATCACATGAAGTGTGGGCTTTTGGCATGGACCTGCAGTGTAAATTGAAATACAGGATGTCTGCAGTTTAAACAACAGGGATTTATACTGTTTGGAAGCCTCTCATCTCTTGCATCATCGTGAGCCATGGTGTATCGCTTTATTCGCTTGACTTTTATTCTTTTTTCTTTTACAATCTGCCTCCATATACAGATTTGATTTGTCTACTGTTTTAAACCACACAGCCTCGTCTCTCCTTCCCCCTGTTTCCCTCCTCTCTCCCCTCTCACCCTTTCCTCTCCCTGGGTACACTCCAGACAAAGCACCACCTGTGCTGGCTGGCAGTTCTTTCATGTGACCCACATCCAGATGATCGCAGCTCCACTTCTCACTGTTTGTGTTACACCCTACATTATTATTACAGAGCAGCCAGGATGAGTTACGCAGTGTGCCGCACATATGAATACAAACATAAACATGTTGGTATTTGTGGTATTGTGTGTGTCTGTGTGTGTCTGTGTGTGTGTGTGTGTGTGTGTGTGTGTGTGTGTGTCTGTGTGTGTATCTGTGTGTGTGTGTGTTTGTGTGTGTGTGTGTGGGACTATACACACTGAGGTTTCTGTCTACTGCAGACCTGAACATTCCTCTCCCTGCTAATTCCCAGCCTCTAGCCCATCCCTCAGTCAGTCTCAGACAGACCCAGACCTCACTCAGAGGAACAACAACCTCTGTTACCACAACACATCTGCTCACAACAACCTACCGCAGTCAGAGAGCATTACTAATGAAGACTTCCTCCACCTAGACTAGTGCATCTGGTTTCCATTGATCTAATCCTCCTGATGTTGAAACTGATTGCACAATTCACCAGGGTGGCTCCCCTTACTGTAAACCTACAGTATGTTAGTCAAGGAACTCCACTAAAAGAAACCGACTTCCTCGGACCATGATGTTTTTACTAAACTGAGGATGAGCTAATTAGCACAGCCGAGTTTAGCCAGGCTCAAACGACACACACCAGCTACGCTGCCCCATCACATGGTAATATTTAGCAAACAGCTTCTCACTAAAACCTTACATGTTTCCGTAGCATGCTCGATTGAGTCCATCACTGCTGAGATGAGGCAGAACAGAGGTGTCTTTGCCAAGTTCTCCAGAGCCAGAACTCTTCCCACACTCCAGCAGGCTACTCTCCTCTCCTCCTCTCCTCCTCTTTGCTTTCCTGTCACCTCCCTCTCCTTGGGTGAGCCACGCTTGACTCTGATCATCAGCAGCAGGTCTGTCATTTCAAGCAACAGTCTGACTCAGACTTTGACGTAAGGCAGAGTGACTGGGGCACGAGCGGGCGGGGGGTGAATGCGGAGGACAAATTAACAGCAGTGCTAAATTAGCACAAATTTGCCAGTACAAAAGCACTTCCTGCCCGCATCCTCTCTTACTCAGCATGCTAGTACTAATCCGCATCCCCTCCCGAGCTTGTCTTGTCTCTCGCAGAGACTGTTTGATGCTAATCCTGAGTGAATACACTACAGGCCAGCATCAACATCTCCCCTGAAGAAGAAGAGGAGGAGGAGGAGGAGGAGGGAGAGATCCAGAGACTAATGAAGACAGCTTTGTGGCAGTAGTGGTTAGGACACCTGACGGGTGACCTGGAGATTGCAGGGTCAGCTCTCTGTCGAGTACACTGCGGTCTATTCTTGACCAGAACAACCCAAATTACTGCAGTATGTGGCCTGCTAAGAACTCAGAAACATGTTCACCATTCCAAGGTTGTTTTGGGCATCCGGAGAGTTGCTGTATATAGGGCATCTGCAGAGATACTATATAATACACATACAATAAGCTGTGAAACCATATCATGGTGAGACTGTTCTTGTCTGGTATAGATGACTGAAATGTAGACCCCCTCTGAGAGTGGGTATCAACAACATATTGATCAAACAATCTCACTAAGTGCTGCACATAACAATGCAAAACAGCTCTTTAAAAAAGTCTATATGGAATTTCTTTGTTTGCATACTGACTGGCCTTGCCCTTGTGCTTGGCATTGAGCCAGCCCCAGCCGGGGAGTCTCTCTCTCTCTCTCTCTCTCTCTCTCTCTCTCTCTCTGTTTTTGAGTCTGGGCTGAATACAACTGAGACAGTCTCCAGGGTTGGGAGAAAGGGAGGGAGAAAGAAATAGAGGGCGAGAAAGATTGTCCAATCAGCTGGACAATAAAATGTATCCTTTAAGGTCCACCAGGAGGAGAAAAGGCAAAAAATTAGGATATTGAATTTCCCACCTAATTATGAGAGTATGCCCTTTCTGATCAACCAACCAGAAACATTTAATTACAAAACCAATTACTCTGGTGACGAATGTATCACATCTGACAAAACCATCCCGGGAGCAGGACAGGACATTTGGAGGAGGTGAAGTGGATAAGTTGATGGTGTGGGTGGAGGAGGAGGGTGGAGGATGGATGGTGTGAGTGGAAGATGGATGGTGTGGGTGGGTGGAGGAGGGTGTGGGTGGAGGAGGAGGGTGGAGGATGGATGGTGTGGGTGGAAGATGGATGGTGTGGGTGGGTGGAGGAGGGTGTGGGTGGGTGGAGGAGGAGGGTGGAGGATGTGGGTGGAGGGTGTGGGTGGAGGATGGATGGTGTGGGTGGAGGAGAGCAGAGAGTGAGTGGGTGACAGGGGCCTAGAGGATAGAGGTGTGTGCATGTGTCCGTGTCCATGTGGGTCAAGGCTAGGGGATGAGGGGCCTGGTGCTCTTATCACTGCCTAATTTTTGTGTGACTCACTGCATTACCAGAGTCATTAGGGGCAGGATGGCCTTTTATTCTTCTCAGTCAGGCCTGTGGCTCTCCTCAGGGGCAGGCAGGTGGGACTGACTCCCCACCCTCTCTCTCGCTCTCCCCGCCATAACCACCTTTGTTTCATTTTACATTGTTGTCATTTAGCAGACGCTCTTATCCAGAGCGACTTACAGGAGCAATTAGGGTTAAGTGCCTTGCTCAAGGGCACATCGACAGATTTTTCACCTAGTCGGCTCGGAGAATCGAACCAGCAACCTTTCGGTTACTGGCCCAACGCTCTTAACCGCTAGGCTACCTGCTGCTAGGCTACCTGCTGCTAGGCTACCTCCTCCACCTTCCTCTCCCTATTCTCCGTTGAGCCTTTGTCTAGGGGTGTCTCACACAGATTTGATGTCAGGTGATATTTTCAGTGTTAAATCAGTCTTTATTCTCTCTCCCACACTGACACCTTTCAATAATGCCCTGGTCGGTTTGTGTGTGGGTTGGTGTGTGAGCTGGGAGAATGTGTGTGAAGTCAGAAGGGAGAGGCACTGATCCGCCCGCTGTGTGTTGGTGGGGGCGAGAGAAGTGCAGAGGAGGGAGAGTGGATGTGTGAGAGATAGCTGAGGTAGTCATGCTTGGATTGGGTTGACTGTGAGGACTGTTTCACTGTCCATTCTTCGCTACATCTCAACCTCCTTGTCCCCCCCCTTCCATTTTGTGAGGGCACACACCACAACTGTAATGTCCTGCGAGGCGGCCATGTTTATAAAGGGGGTGGGTGGGAGGGCTGGACCTCTGAAGTGTGTCATGGTTTAGGTGATCAGGAACACTGGGGGTGGCACATGGTTGTGGCTCCTCCGCTAAGTAGAGCCAGCAGGATGCCAGTCAAACCGTTGGCACCATGAATGCCTGGCACCAGGTGATAAGGTGGGGCCTGTGCCATGTTTCAGTGTGTGTGTGTGTGCAACCCTGAAAGTGTGTGTTTGTGTGTGCGATCATGCATTCCCCAGCTCACCTCGTGCTTGCCCTTCATCCTGCACGTCCTGATGTCGTTTTTGTTGGACTCCCATGTTCTCTTCTATAACAGACAGACATTGGCATTCCAACAGTGTCAGTTAAGCTGGTTAGACAGTACTCTAAGATGTTAATGAGGTGTGTGTGCATGGAGAGGGCCTCACCTTACTGTAGAACATCTCTTCTCCTGCCACATTGTCCAGCTCCACGCGGAAAAGGTCATCCCTGACAGACAAAGAGCATGGCAGTCAGCCAACAGCAAGACAAAGTTAGCTAAGTCTTAGACAGGCACTCAACTGCACTCCACATGCTCTCACACATAATGGCACTAGAAATACTCTACTGTCTTATGGGCAATTCTGGACATGCTACAGAATAATGGTTGGAGAAGATTAAATGTTTGAGAACCAAAAATGTAAGAATCTTTTTTGTCTGTTCATGCACTGTAGGCTATGACATCTGTGGGCTATAACTATGTAACAATTTACAATATATCTGAATAAAACAGCTCTGTATAATGGGATACATTTCAGGCTATGGTTGATAAATACACATTTTGAATTGCATAATGGGCACTTGTTTTTCCCCTTGGTTTAGTTTGGGTCTCATTTGAGTTCACTTGCAGTAAAGTTGGTTTTGCTGGGAGGCCTGAATTGTCTCACTTCAGAAGAAATTGAATTAATGGATGATTTAATCAAGAAGTTTGCCTGCGTTCATAACGCACCCCCACACAGACAGCACACAATGCCAATGAGAGGTCTCATCATATAATACCATGCATTCATGCTACTCACTGCTAATACGTTCATAATTCTTGTATAACCTTGCCGTGCCTGTGAAAGTGCCTTTAGAATCTGAGTTAGGGCAGGAGCCTTAAGGAAGATGCTAACAGCTGATGTTGCATATTGATCAAGGTCCTGTATCTCTGGCAAATAAACTGGAGAGGCTCTGGTTATGCCAAGCTCCTTTCAGACACCAGGCTTTGAATGTTCTAATCTGTAAATATGCCAAAGCTATGTAATTGCAGCAGTATCGATCTTATCTCCTAGATCTAGCTCTGCCTTCCATCTGTGCTGCTCTGCCTTACTCCTCAGCAGAAGGCAGGCTCTGTCTGTGTGTGTCAGAGTGTGTGTGCATGTGTGTGTGTGTGCGTGCATGTGAGTGTCTTTGGTGAGGGGAACATGGTAAGCCTAAGCGCTCCTCTACTGAATTATTCACTGGTGGCTCCTCTAGGTTTGTTAAAAGATTCCCTCCCTAGGTTACCTCCCTCACAATACAGGACGGTGGTTAAGTGATGTGGGTAGAATTACCATACACTTACTTTGTGCCTTGCTCATTTGGCTGGGTCAAAGTTTAAGCAGCCTACAAACAATCAAGTAGGGCAGTGAGTGTGGCGTAATCGCATCCAGAGCACTTCAGCCCTGTCCAGTATTAACATATGAAAATGTGAACAGGCCTCCTAGTGGGTGTAGCCAGCAGCCAAGGCTGCTGTGGTTTGAAGAGGCCAGTTGATATTGTTCTGCCTCTCTGGTCTCCTTCAGGCTGTTTGAGTGATTTCTCTGCTTTACTGTTGCATTTTACATAGTTTATGTTGCAGGATGTTCACAAGGCAGGCTAGGCCGTCGATCTCCCTGACAACCACTCATAATTCCTCCGACTGGCATTTGCAGACCTGCAAATTGAGTTAACAGAATATATACGTGTGTGGGTTGCCATCCGTATTTATAGGCAACAACCCTGTGAACTGTCTAAAGTGGACAACATTTTGTTTTATTCTTAAATGCCTTTTTTGGGCCGTTCAGACACTGAGCTTCTCTGAGTCTTTCTGAGCCGTCAGACACTGAGCTTCTCTGAGTCTTTCTGAGCCGTCAGACAATGACTTTGCAGAGAACGCCACACAAATAGATGAAACTGAAAAGGAGAAGTTTCTGACCAATCAGTGACCCTGACCCTCCCTGTGCTGACTGAGTGACTCTGTCGCTATGTCCCTCTGTCTGCATGCTACTTCCTGTTTGCTATGTCACTCCCTACAGCTGAGTGGAATCTGTAGCCAGACCCAAGACGGCTCTATTCTGAAGCGTCTGTGGAGACTGTTCATCTATATGTCACGTAGATGATCCCCCTGTGACCTCTGAGGTCTGCATCTCTCTGTGGCCAGCGGATGGTCTGGTCTGGCAGCGACTCTGCTCACTCTCACTCTTCAGCCTCTAATGGAGAGATAGATTCTACTCCCTCTCTCCTGCTCCAGATGGCAAAATCTTCTTACGGTTTACCATAATTGGAACCAATTAATCATGTATTGCCATGTTCCTTGGTAGCCTCTCTCCTTTTGGGATAAGCACTACTCAATTGGTTTATTTCTGTGGATTAGTCCAGTGGATCTGGAGCTGTGTGACAGGTCCAGGGAGTCCACACATCTACTTATAGAGAGGAGAGCACTGGAGCGTGAGCTAATACAGTAGAGAGAGAGCAAGAGAGGGTTGAGGAGGAGGCTTGAAGCGCTGGGCACCTTGTTATGACATGCATTATCTGAATTAGGCCCACAGAATTATACCTACGGAGGGGCTTCTATGGAGGAACTTTGAATGTCAGAGTTGGCTTAATGTTGGACCACAGTAGCTAGCTAGCTAACAAGCTTGTGTGTGAAGAGCAGCACCAGAACTAAAAACACGCCTTACCATTTTGTAGTTAATAAATCCAATGTGAAATGTGATAACTATAGTATCCCTTACTAGCCTTGACAGAGGGAGGGCTTTGCATAGGCGCTTTGTTGCCCACGATATAAAATAACGTTATTAACCAGTTCCCATGCTTTTAAAATAACGGTTCTGTTCCGGAACAGTATAGATCACTTTCATTCCCGGTTCTGATTGTGTACCTTGATAAAAAATGTCTAGGTTTTCTGTTCTGAACCGGTTCCAACGCCTGGCGACTAGGTGTGTGTACTTTCTCTGGCTCCACAGGGCCTAATAGAGGGACAGTTGGGGAGCTACGGTGTTGCTCATTAGTCCCCCCCCCCCCCCCCACTCTCCCTCCCTCTCTCTCCATCTGTGGCCAGCCAGTAGGGAGAGGACAGAGTGACAGAAGCTCCCCACCAGGTGCTTGGGGCTTGGGGCAGGGCTTTAATAGTCGTTGCGGTATGAACACCTAAGCTAATGGTGACAGGATTTGGGCTCACTGGAGCCTCTTATCAGTCCAGCCACTCTGCTGCAGCTTTCAGCCAATCGGCCCTGCCTCCCCACAGGTACTCAGGCACCTTTGCTCTTTTAAGTCTATCTGCTTGGCTTTTGGCAGCCCGGCTCAACATTTATACACACAGACACACAGACACACGGACGCATGCACACACATGCACAACACACACACACACACACACTAGCTCTGGCTCCCACTAGCTCTGGCTATTGGATTTCACTATCATCCGGTTCACTGAGACATAGGCATTAGTTTACCTTTTCTATCATGTAACAGTGGCACTAAAACATGAGTTTCCTGGTTGTGGTTATATTTGATCACTAACCTGCAGTCAGACAGGCAGCGGTGACTACAGGCCTCCTGTCTTCAGGCTCTGGGTTTTATTACTAGGCTGTGTAGTCAGAATGGCTGGAGCCAAACGCTGCAGGATTTGACATAATTATTTATTATCAGGCCTCTGGATTTGAGGTTAGAGAAAGGCCAAAGGCCATGGACCGGGTCATTTCCTGACACAGTATGGGGCTCCTTATTGGGGATGTCTATGGTTTAGCTAGCTAGTCTGCTGTAACCACCACCATATGTCTGCCCTACATGGACATTGAAGTCTTTTTTAATAAGTTCCCAGTAATATTAAGCTAGTCTGTGACATCATCATTCATATTTTAGAGTATTAGAAGAAGATTGATTTGTGTTTTTTATTTCTGGTTGGAAAGGGCAGACAAGACGACAGATGTAATTGAACAAACTTCCACACCTGTGTGCCCTCTGGTCCAACCCCACCCACCACAGACTAATGTCTAACCAGGATCAGCACATTAAGCCTTCTGGCTGGCTCTACCCAGCCTGGCCTGATCGACACTCTGTGGGTGGGGGTCAAGCTCTCACTTCTATAGCCACGGCCACAACTAGCTCAGATAATGTCCTTTGCGTGCTTTGAGATTAATTTGATACAAATGTATTCAGATTCAATAGCATTTACTTTCATATGTGATTTACGATACACAGACAATGTACGCAGGATTATAAAAGATGGCTGAATAAATACATTAATGCTCGTGGCTCAAATCTGATGAATACATTTATGTTTGTGGCTAGAAATATACCTGGCTCCAATGTAGAGGGTCCGGTTCACCTTGAGAACTCTCTGAATATGCAGTGTCTCCTGTCTCAGGGCTGAACGATGTGGCCGACCCAGAAACACTGGGTACTGCCGGACCACTGTTTAGAGAGAGAGAGAGAGTCAGAGGATGAGAGAGAAGGGTGAGAGAGAGAGAAGAAGGATAGAGCAGTGAGGGAGAGAGAAAAAGAGAGACAGAAGATAAGAGAGAGGGATGAGAGAGAGAAGGAGGAGAGAAAGGGATGAGAGAGAGGAGAAGAGAGAGAAAAAGAGGGAGTTACATAATTTTCTTATCATGCAGTAGTAGGGGGGGTGAACAGAGAGGGGAGAGAGCAGAGGGAGAACACAGGGGAGAGGGAACCATACATCAGCTGAGTTACCATGGGAAACTGTCTAATGCTGCCATCTCTTATTGGCCTTGACTGGAGTAAGTGATAGAGTGCCCTCCTCCTTCTTCTTCTGTGACCTCCCACTATTCTGTCCATCTCTGTTCCCTATCCACCCATCTCAGATAAGCCTATGCTGTTGCTTCCTTCTATAGGACTAAGTAAAGGATGATCTCTCCTCCTTCTGTGTCCTATCCTATGACTATTCTGTCCATCTCTGTTCCCCATTGACCCATCACATATATGCTGAGACTGTTGCCTCCAAGTATAGGTCCATTATCTGCCCTAATCCACAACCCTACAGGACTTCAGAGAGCCTTCAGGTCCTACATCTTAGCATTGATAGCCTGAGAAGGGTCTGAATTCAGCTGGGAGGTCTTGGTCGATACTATTGAGTTGTGGTCAATCATGGCCAACTATGTTCTGGTCTGGAGACTGCCCTTATATAATAGAGGCTCAGAGTCTGGCCCTCTGTGGGAGCAGCCTGACCTCAACCCTGACTATGATCTCACACCCACACAACTCACTGACGCCCTACTCCTCACACTATGCATGTCAGCCCTGACCCCACTCCTCACACTACTCCACACTCTGCATGTGATGCCCTGACTCTTTCTGACCCTGTTCCTGACACCTTCCATGTTAGACCCTGACACTGACCCAATACTCTACACCCTGTGTGTGAGAGAGATGTTACCTTCAGTGGGGATAAAGTTCAGAGGCCCCGGTTCCTCCGGAAACGCAGTGCTGGCCAATCGGAGGAGCCAAAACAGCAGGAAGAAGGGTGGGGCCAGGGTCACCATGGCAGCAGTAGAACACAGGCTCTGTGAAGATAAAGAGAGACAGAGAGACTGTGATCAGTCAGATAAAGCCGTAACAGTGACAGAGTAGTACACACACCTAGTGTGACCAGCTCAGACTACAATGCACTACACACACTGACTGACCGTCCTGACAAAGCAGGCACCTTTTCTGCATTCCCACAACATCTCTCTCCCTCCAGCCGGACAGAAAAATGTAGAGAGTGAGACAGAGATGAAGCCACTCACTGATGGAGAAGAGAAGTGCACAGTCAGCCTGAACAGCCTGAACACGAGAAGAGATCAGACCACAGGAGCCCAATGACACATGAGACACAGTGGAGGGAGGGTGGTTTACAACAAGAGGGCAGTAGATAGAGAGAGACAGAGGGGGTGAAAAAGAAAGCGGGAGAGACAGGAAGAGAGATAAGGAGGCAGGAAAGCGGGAGAGACAGGAAGAAAGAGAGAGACAAGGCAGAAGGGAGTGAGAGAGAAAAAAGAGACAGGGAGAGGAGAGAGAGAGAAAAAGAGAGAGAGAGAGAGAGAGAGAGAGAGAGAGAGAGAGAGAGAGAGAGAGAGGAGTTAGGTGTGTCAGGCGACTGTTTACTCAAATTAAATCCTTGCCGTCAACGCAAATCACATCTCTGGCAGGTGACTAAACGGCAGGTATTTTTTATGAAGCCGTACTACAGCAGCCTGAGCCACAATGAGAGGATGGGAGAGGATGTAATGCACATGGAAATACAAACGATAGCCAAATTAAGTTAGCACACTCAATCCATCGAGAAAATCCCTCCTGTACTTTGGAGGAGGAAAGCCTTGGGTATTGCTATTGACTGTTGTCATAAACCTCAAACCGCCTCCCAGAACAGAAGAGATTAGAGCAGAGCAGCTCTTAGTGCTGAAGGTATATTACGCTATGTAGTGGCTCTGTATTGTGGATGACGGAAAGAGCACTCTCCATGCTTATCATTGTGTCCATCTGCCTCTCTTCCTGGATGATTATGCTTCTGTTCTTTTCACATAAAATCTCAGCATGAGGATGTTTATAAATATGCACTACCAGTCAAAAGTTTGGACTCATTCAAGGGTTTTTCTTTATTTTTACTATTTTCTACATTGTAGAATAATAGTGAAGACATCAACACTATGAAATAACACATATGGAATCATGTAGTAACCACAAAAGTATTAAACAAATCAAAATATATTTTATATTTGAGATTCTTCAAATAGCCACCCTTTGCCTTGATGACAGCTTTGCAAACTCTTGGCATTCTCTCAACCAGCTTCATGAGGTAGTCACCTGGAATGCATTTTAATTAACAGGTGTGCCTTCTTAAAAGTTAACTTGTGGAATTTATTTCCTTCTTAATGCGTTTGAGCCAATCAGTTTTGTTGTGACAAGGTAGGGGTGGTATACAGAAGATAGCCCTATTTGGTAAAAGACCAAGTCCATATTATGGCAAGAACAGCCCAAATAAGCAAAGAGAAACGACAGTCCATCACTACTTTAAGACATGAAGGTCAGTCAATACGGAACATTTCAAGAACTTTGAACGTTTCTTCAAGTGCAGTCGCAAAAACCATCAAGAGCTATGATGAAACTGGCTCTCATGAGGACCACCACAGGAATGGAAGACCCAGAGTTACCTCTGCTGCAGAGGATAAGTTCATTAGAGTTACCAGCCTCAGAAATTGCAACCCAAATAAATGCTTCATAGAGTTCAAGTAACAGACACATCTCAACATTAACTGTTCAGAGGGGACTGTGTGAATCAGGCCTTCATGGTCGAATTTCTGCAAAGAAACCACTACTAAAGGACACCAATAATAAGAAGAGACTTGCTTGGGCCAAGAAACACGAGCAATGGACATTAGATCGGTGGAAATGTGTCCTTTGGTCTGGAGTCCAAATTTGAGATTTTTGGATTGCAACCACTGTGTTTTTGTGAGACGCGGTGTGGGTAAACGGATTATCTCTGCATGTGCATTTCCCACCGTAAAGCATGGAGAAGGAGGTGTTATGGTGTGGGGATGCTTTGCTGGTGACACTGTCTGTGATTTATTTTGAATTCAAGGCACACTTAACCAGCATGGCTACCACAGCATTTTGCAGCGATACGCCATCCCATCTGGTTTGGGCTTAGTGGGACTATCATTTGTTTTTCAACAGGACAATGACCCAACACACCTCCAGGCTGTGTACGGGCTATTTTACCAAGAAGGAGAGTGATGGAGTGCTGCATCAGATGACCTGGCCTCCACAATCCCCTGACCTCAACCCAATTGAGATGGTTTGGGATGAGTCGGACCGCAGAGTAAAGGAAAAGCAGCCAACAAGTGCTCAGCATATATGGGAACTCCTTCAAGACTGTTGGAAAAGCATTCCAGGTGAAGCTGGTTGAGAGAATGCCAAGAGTGTGCAAAGCTGTCATCAAGGCAAAGGGTGGCTTTTTGAAGAATCACAAATATAAAATATATTTTGATATGTTTAACACTTTTTTGGTTACTACATGATTCCATATGTGTTATTTCATAGTTTTGATGTCTTCACTATTATTATACAATGTAGAAAATAGTAAAAATAAAGAAAAACCCTTGAATGAGTAGGTGTGTCCAAACTTTTGACTGGTACTGTATGTCACCGAGGAACAAAACATGAACTATTCAAAAATATTTGTAAGGATTACACTTATTTAGCTTTTTACATTATTACAGTTTACACTGTCAATAATTAGTTTTGAAAATCAATAAAGGGAAATGCTGTCAGTCACAGTGGCTGACAGCACAAACACACATGACTGAATGAGTGGGTATTATTCAGTGGTGTAGTGCTGTAGGTATTATCACGTTTGAATCTTCAAGGTTGGATTTCTTTATTCAAAACCCTTTTCATATTTTAATGTGGTTACAAGGGCATTCCATGACACAAATGCAAATAAAGGCACTTTCACACACTCCCCACACTCTGCCTTTCTCTCCTCAGCACAAGTACCCATTGTAGAGCCATCTAGTCATCTTTATAATGAACTTTATCAGGATATCTCATCTTAACGGGGCATTGCTCAAATTCCTCTCATTGATGTCAGAACAAGAGAAGGCCCATAACACTAATTGCTCAACACCCAAACCACAAAATTAGAGGAGGATGAGAGAGGAGAGAGTCATAGGCAGAAGAAAGGAGGTCAGAGGAGAGGAGAGAGTCACAGGCAGAAAAAAGGGGGTCAGAGGAGAGGAGAGAGTCACAGGCAGAAGAAAGGAGGTCAGAGGAGAGGAGAGAGTCACAGGCAGAAGAAAGGATGTCAGAGGAGAGGAGAGAGTCACAGGCAGAAGAAAGGGGGTCAGAGGAGAGGAGAGAGTCACAGGCAGAAGAAAGGGGGTCAGAGGAGAGGAGAGAGTCACAGGCAGAAGAAAGGGGGTCAGAGGAGAGGAGAGAGTCACAGGCAGAAGAAATGAGGTCAGAGGAGAGGAGAGAGTCACAGGCAGAAGAAAGGAGGTCAGAGGAGAGGAGAGAGTCACAGGCAGAAGAAAGGAGGTCAGAGGAGAGGAGAGAGTCACAGGCAGAAGAAAGGAGGTCAGAGGAGAGGAGAGAGTCACAGGCAGAAGAAAGGGGGTCAGAGGAGAGGAGAGAGTCACAGGCAGAAGAAAGGGGGTCAGAGGAGAGGAGAGAGTCACAGGCAGAAGAAAGGAGGTCAGAGGAGAGGAGAGAGGGGATGAGAGAGGAGGAGGAGAGAGAAATACATGTGGAGGAGAATAAAGAGTAGAAGTGGTATTATAATGAGTCGGTATTACCAGAGATTCCATTGTGTCTATATATTAATAGTGTATGACTAAATGCCAGGCTTCACACATTCAATTAGCATAATTAGAAACTGAGGGCTCTAGGACTTCATGGGACAACAAGCTAAGCAGATACAGTAGACGTCCAGGGGCAAACGCAGCGTACAGTTCCAGAGAAGTGTTTTCCTAATTATGACAAATGACTGTGGTGGAGTCAATTCAGTGAACAGAGCTAGCCTTTATAATAATATAATAATAATAATAATAATATAATAATATGCCATTTAGCAGACGCTTTTATCCAAAGCGACTTACAGTCATGTGTGCATACATTTTTACGTATGGGTGATCCCGGGGATCGAACCCACTACCCTGGCGTTACAAGCGCCATGCTCTACCAATTGAGCTACAGAGGACCACATAGTCTGTGGCCCTTAGTTTAACTGTAGCCCCAGCCTACTGTATAGCATTCCTTAACATTACAGTGTAATAGGCTATACTGTATTTATTACAGTGTAATAGGCTATACTGTAAATACAATGTATTTACTACAATACCCATCCACTCCAGCAGGATTTACACACAGCCATTAATTTGTCCATTCCCACAGACCGGACCCTGGACATTTAGCCAGGTAATTTCCTAAATAAAGCCATTAAGAAGTCATTTAGGGTCTGAGATGGAGGAGAGGCGGTGGCACTGTCTTCAGAATGACCAGTGAGGGGCCGCTTCGATAACAAATCACTGGGAGAATCAATGATGCCTCAAGTCTTTAGAAATTCTTATTGAGGAGTGATATTGTGCTGATAGAGAGGAGAACAGGGGCCCGACAGACAGAGGAGAAGAGACAGGAAACAGGGACTAGGCAGGCAGGCAGGGAGGCAGGCGGGTGGAATGTGTGCGATGCAGCATCAGGCTCTGGGTAAACAAAGAGATTGACCCTATACTCCGGGCTGAGATGCTTAGCATGTCAATGACACGGCTCATACTTGTCATTGCTCAGATACTCTGGAAATTCGAATGCTTTTGTTCCTTATTACGGATGCCATGGACTCCCATCTCTTCTATCTACCTTACAGCCTTGGCGTTAGTGTGTGTACTCTGAGAAAGTGCTTCCAATACATAGCCCTGAGACTCTTGTACTATAAATCACACCTTGGATTGGAGAGCAAACCCAGATTATGCATGTCCTAAATAGAGAGATTGGTAGGTATATTGTGGTGTGTTACAGTATTCAGCTGCAGGCGGTCATGTCTTATTATATAGCGGTATCACACGACTCCACTGTAAGTCAATACCTGAGCTCTGGTACAAGTAGACAAGCACTAATGACCAGAGTGGGTTTATCAGTGAACTTTACAACCCAGCGATCTAAATTTAAAGGCATGGATCAATATTTAAAATATGTCTCCGTAGTATATAGCAGGCCTAAATGGGAAAAGGGAACTGAAAAGCCTGAACCAGTGAAGTACTGTACTCTCCTTTTTTCCACAATGAATGAATCCCTTTATTTGCGTGCTACAAGCCCCACTTCATAGATCTTATAGCGGCTAATTGTCATATCAGAGAGGGGAGGGTGTGCTTTATGGAGTGTGTAGAATCAATGACAGGCTAGCCTCAACAGTTTGGAGCGTTTTCAAGTAGCAATTACAGGAGACACCACCTACACTCACAGTAGGGATGCCTTTACAGAAAAACGTGAAATCATGTGAAAACTTGTTTTTGGAACACTTCACGTGATCATGTTTTCACATGTGTAGTTACATGTTATCGCATGTTGCTTTACATGTTGTCACATGTTATTATGTTATTATTATTATTATTATGTTATCACATTAACTTCACATAAGATCATGTGAACACATGAAAACATGTGTTTTTGGAACACGTGATCATGTGAAATTCATGCCGTTTTTCCGTAAGGGTGGACAGAAAGTGAGAGGTGACAGATACTCAGAAAGGAGAGACGAAATGAGAAAAAAAGTTAGAAAAAAAGAAAGCGAGTGAGAAAGAGCGAGAAGGAGGGAAGTTAAGAGTAAAGAGTGAAGCAGAAAGCACTGAAGGAATCACGTTGGATATGTGGAAAGTAAAGCTAAAATATGCGAGGAATGCTTTAATAGGTTGGAGGCTGGGAAAGGCGTTGAGAGCGGAAGAGCACCGAGCCAAGAGCGGACTGATTCTTTCCTAAGCACACCCTAAATCTGCTCCAGTGACCTGGGATGCTTAACCTCCCCTCATCTCATCTCATCCCCTCCCTCCCTCCCTCCCTCCCTCCCTCCCTCCCTCCCTCCCTCCCTCCCTCCCTCCCTCTACTCCCAAGGGACAAGCCAGTCAGCTCAATTTTAAACTCTAAACACTCAACCACCAGTGCAGGCTCCGCTCCACAAACTATCCGTCTCACTCACGCCTCATGTAAAAACACTGCAGGGTTCCAGTCCACTCAACCAAAACATGGCTGTTTGCATGAAGACTGATGTGACTACAGGGCTGTGCTCTAGACTTTCTGTCTAAGGGGTGGAACCGTGGAGAAGATACACATACCGTAACACCACTAGACATACTGGGCGCTTTGACGGCATTCTTAGAGTGTGTCATCTTTGGACGCAGCCATTTCCCTTGCATGGGTGATGGTAACATAGCTATGTTTATTTATGGAGTGGGAACTATATTGCCTCTTACAGCATGGCTACATCACTTTTTATATTAGCAGCATTGCCTGGGTACATATCTTTAGTTTCTACTCATTGCAGTTAGAAGTCATTATCCTTCAGCATTTATCTGGTTAAGAGCCGAGCTAGAACTTAAGGGCATAGCTGCAATAAGATAAGTATTTATCTTAGAACAATATATCTCACTGTTGAGGGTGTGAGTTGAGCATTGAGCAGACAGAACTGCAGAGCCGTGCTTGGCAGAGTAAAAAAGTAATATATGTGTTTATTGTTGATGAAGGATAAATTGAGTTATATCTCCAGGTATTACTGAAGCTGTATCTCCAGGTCTATGTCACTCCCATTAACCTTCTCACTCATCATCATTACACCTACTGAGGGCCTGAGACTGAGAAGTGTGTGGAGCAGCGCTAGCCAGGAAGAATACGCCATTGTCTGAGAATGTCTGGAATATGGCTTGGTAACGACCATCGTTAAAAGCTGATCAGATAGAAAGAGTGTTTATTATGACAACGTTTCAACCTTTAGGTGGTCATCGGGTCCATCCATCCATTATGACCACATGTTCCGTCACAGAGACATAAACACATCACAACTATAGATAAAAGTGACCTGACCTTTAACCCCGGCCCAGATTATAGCTATCATTAGCAGGTCAGGGATCAGAGAGTGGGGTCGTAAATTACACATAAATCAGGAAATACAAACTACTTCACGCAGTAAAAGTAAAATAAAAACATGTTGGAGTGACAGAGAGTACAGCCATAACATCCATCACTGTGAGCGTCTATAAACCCAGGCGAGAAGCTAAAAGAAGGCAGATCATCTCCAGCCTGTTATAAATACTAGAGAAACCTTCCTAATGGTCAGAGCATCACACACAACCACACTTGATGTGATTATTCTCCTAAAATTCTCCTGAGGCAATGTATTATCTTCCATAAATACACTGGGAAATGTAATATCCCAACTTGTTCTCGTCCAGCCGCCATTTGCCCTTTCCCTCTGTGAATCACGAGGGAAGATGAATTTATTGTAATGGAAACAATGGTCTGGGTCTCGGCCTGTCAGAGGGATGGGGAGGGAATAGAGGTGGGGGGGACAGGGAGGGAGGGAGAGGAGGGAGGGGAGCATGTCAAGGTAAGCAATTCCTCTGTTCTTTTTGGAGGGGGAGGAGCCGTCAGAAGTGGGGAGATAGAGGGGAAAACGAGAGAGAGGGAGGGAGAAAGAGAGGCAGGGCTGTATACATTTTGGGATTCAGAACGACACCTCAGTATACTAATTGTGTTTTTTGAGTTCTACCAAACCTCATCTTCCCTTTTCTCCTTCCTCTCTTTTCCTGACTGTAGACCTGAATCAGATGACTGCAGTACTGTTAGGCCTTCAGCACCAAATTAACATGATAAGAAGAAACCTGCCTAATGGGCGGGAAAGAAGAACACACAGCAAGGCTAGCAGAACATGCAAATATAAGTTAAATGTGGTCAGTATCTCAACTGAGTTAATGGGTAACAGCTGCAATCCTCTCTTTCTCTGTCTTCCACATCTCAGTTCAGACTGTAACAGCATATTCCAGGAGGAAATCAGCTCAGGAGAAATTTCACTCTCACGCCTCATCAAAAACATCTAAAAGCAATTCCAATTTCTGACTGTCTGGTTGGAGACATAAACGAAATAGAAATGCAGGATATCCTCCTCCCCCACCGGTTGAGACAGTCACAGCACCATGGTAAAGCATCGATAGATAGATAGAAAGATAGATACAGCCCTTCATATCAAACACAGCATAGCCCCTTGCTGCAGGCAGTCTGACTACCCTGCACATGCAATCAGACACTTTCCTGGACACACATATTTATTCAGCAGATAATTTTTCAATCTGCTCCCCCCATTCCCTCCTCCCCCACTCTCTTTCTGCATCTCTCGATCATTTCCCCTCTATCTGTCACTTTTTCTCTCCCCTCTCTCTTTCTGTCTCTCTCCCTACTCTCTCTATTTCTCTTTCTCTCTCCAGAAATCAGCCACCTGCTCATCCAATTTAGTGAGATCAATTCCCCAGTATCTATTTCAATAGAAGGGTGTGCAGTCCTGTCTGCCTCTGCCTCCTGTCTGTTTCCCTGTCGTTCAGGTGGAGTGAATGTCAAGTATAGTACATACAGTACACAAGTCCACTGGTAACACCCACGCATTGAGTCAATCAAGTAACATTATAATTGTCTATTATGCACACAAAGGCAACATCAGGATTGCAGACACTCAGACACAGAAGCACAATTACTGACAATTACACACACATGCACGCACAATTACAAACACACACGCACGCGCACACGCATATCTATCTGTGAGTAGCAGGCATAACTCCCAGCTCTGAATGTGGTTGGCTTGATTCTCCCGCACCAGGACTGAGAGGCATGTTAATCAGGGCTGAAGCCCTCCGCCATACACATCTCTCTCTCTCGCTCTCCTCTGTCTCTCTATCTCTATCTCCGTGTCTCTCTATCCGTCTTATCTCTGTATAGAAAAAGAGCGCGGAAATGACACTTTAGCCTATCTCTAAATAAAAACCTTCTCCGCTCTATCTCTCTTGCTCTCTCTCTCCCATCTCTCTCTCGTCTCTCTGTCCCCCTTTATCTCTATTTATCATTTTCTTCCTGACAATATCTTTCATCTTCACGCCTTTCTATCTCTAGATCTTTAAAATATTGTCCTTCTCTCTCTGTCTACCATCCCATTTCCATCTATTTTTCTTCAACTCCCTGGTCTTCCATTTCCCTCTGTCTAATAATGCATTATTTTCTGTGTTGGTGTGATAAGATTTGTGCTGGGAGGTGTGAATAGTTTATTTAGCAGGACTTTGTTAAGATCCCTCATTCCTCTTTCTCTCTCTCTAGCTGACAGTTTTATTGCCCTCTTCTCCTCTCCTCTCCTCTCTCTGCTCACAGCTCCTTACAGCCCCTCGGTGCTGTTTACTACAGAGAGATTGAGTTACGCTGAGCAATCTGGGTGGGTGGGTGGGTGGATGGGGAGTGGACTGCTCTAGTAATATCAAGGTGTGTGTGTGTGTGTGTGTCTGTGTGTCTGTGTGTGTAGGGGGTTATAGATGTCAGTCATGTCAGTCAGTCTTGACAGGAAGGTTGAGTGGTGGGGGGTGGATGGGGGGTGATATTATGAATAATATGGAATCCAGGTTTAGGGTTTACTGGGCCCGTTGCTAGGGAGATCAGAACTCAGGGACATATTTAGTCATAACTGAAGAATAGACTGAAAACTGATAGGAACTGCAGAAGCAGATTGAAGCCAGAGAGTTAGGTTATGAAGCGTGCAGGGAGGACGACTCAGGGAGCAGATTGAGAGATAGACTGAGACGAAGTAGATGAAGTAAGACTGCAGAGCGAGAGCACAGAGAGAGAGAAGTGAAAATGAGAGAGAGAGAGAGAGAGATGAGAGAGAGAGAGAGAGAGAGAGACGAGAGAGAGAGGAGAGAGAGAGAGAGAGAGGAGAGAGAGAGAGGACGGAGGAGGAGCAGAGGAGGAGAGAGAGAGGAGAGGAGGAGGAGCGAGAGGCGAGTAGAGAGAGAGAGAGAGAGAGAGAGAGAGAGGAGAAAGAAAGGAAGGGAGGGAGGGAGTAAAAAGAGGAAAGAAGTAGCTGTGGGAGACAAAAGAAAAATAAAGAAAAGGGTTGAAAATGGGTGAGACAAAGAGATGGGGGAGGAGAGTGTGAAAGAGTGGTGCCGAGACAGAGAAAGAAGTGTGCCCAGTCAATAGCTCAGTGCGAACACATATGTGTGGAGGGGAGAAGGAGCCACTCACACACTAATAAACAATGGGCTGAGCTCAGTGAAGGATTAAACTAGATGCTTCTACGACCTGAATGACCATGTCAGACCCTCCAGAATATGTTATTATGGTTGGCGGCTCCTTTTATTTAGTTTAGTTCACTGGCTTTTCTGCTCTGTCTGCACAATAAATAGGTTTCACATGACATCCTCAGACCCTTCAAAAAAGTACCACCAGGAGTTCTTCAGTTCCTTTATCGAATCATCAAATAATATCCCCCGCTGCACTCACGCTCCTTGCCAGTTGGAGGGTTATTTGACAATGTCATTTACTACCTGGCATCTCAAGGAATGGATCAAATCAATAAAGCCATTTATTTCCCTCCAAACGCTATGGCCTCCGCACCATTTGGTTATTCAATTCAATAAAGAAGAAAAAGTGCTGTAGAAAAGTCTCTATGGGGTCCAGGGAGGCTAAGTATGGCTAAAACTATCGGAGAACAATTTATAACAACAGCATTTTAACATGTACAGCTACATGCTTTACTCAGTCAGACAGAGAAGAGACAAACAGGTCTGTTCTTCACAATTCAGAAGAATGTATTTAAGCCTATGCTGGCTCAGGCACAAGACTCGAGGCTGGGTGGGTGGCCTTACGTCTATAAAGTGAACAGGAATGCAGACTCATTTAGACTTTAATGACAACAACAATCCCACACAGTCTCATTGATCACCTCTCATCAAGCCTTGAAAGACCTTCGCTTTACAACACACATCCATTGTGCTCCCAGTCCGCTCCTGCAGAGTTGATTGCATAAAAAAAAGATGTCCAAATCACAGTGTAAGTGGTGTACCATTGATTGGTGTTTTCCCTGTGCCTTCTCAGAGACAACAGGCCAACACAGAGCCAGCCAAACACACTGGAGGTTCCCTGCTGCTTCTGTTGACAGATGCACCAATTTAAGTAGACAGAAAGGAGAGGGACAAACAACCAAGTCAACACACAGTTTCCTACACAGCTCTCTCAAGACACCCACATTCCAGAACGTTTCTTCCAACAAGTCCCTCAACAAAGAATAGATTTCCATTCATCATGTGTGCCTCTTTGTAGTAGCTAAATACTTCTTAATTCTGAAAATTCTGGCACT